TTTATTGTTACACTTATTTATGCATTCATTGGTTGATTCTCTTTAAAAATTTTTTTATTGATTTTCAAAGGTGAAGAGAGAAGGAGAGAGGTGGAGGCATCAATATGAGAGAATCATTAATTGGCTGCCTCACGTACACCTCTTACTGGGCATGTGCCCTGACCAGGAATCAATCATGACTTACTGGTTCAGAGGTTGAACTCAACCACATCTCCTCACAAGCAACCACTGCCCTTATTTTGGATAGAATTGATTTTGCCAATTTTGAACTTTGTATACATTGTAGCTCCTTCTGTTTCTGGCTTGTGCTCAGCATTGTGAGATTCATGCCTGTTGGTAGCAGTAGTGTGTTCCTTGTTAGAGCTGTACAGTATTCCATTGTTACTATATACTTTATTCTTCCTTCTGGTGATAGTCCATTTTGTGTTTTTTCAGTTTTTGGCTGTTATGAATAAAGCTGCAATGAAAATTCTTATATCTTTTCATGCTATATATGCATTTTAAAATGTATTTTTATTGATTTCAGAGAGGAGGGGGGGGAGAAAGAGAGAGAAAAAAAGAAAGAAACATGATGTGAGAGAGAAACATTGATCAGTTGCCTCCTGTACCCATCCAACCAGGATAGAACCCAAAAACTCCAGGTTGTGCTCTTATGAGGAATTGAACTGGTGACCTTTTGGTGCACAGGATGACGGCTCAACTAACAGCACACCTGCCGGGGCTATTTTATTGATCTGTAGGAGTTTATTTTGATACAGGTGTTTGTTGGATATATTGTAACGAAAATATCTTCTAGTCTTGCTAGCTTTTAAATTTTTTTTTAAACAAAATTTAAAAAAAAATTGATTTCAGAGAGAGATTGAGCCTACAACCCAGTCATGTGCCCTAACTGGGAACTGAACCATGACCTCCTGGTTCATGGGTTGACGCTCAAGCAGAGCCACTCCAACTGGTCGCTTTTTAACTTAAATGGCATATTTGATTAGCAGAAGTTCAAATTCCAGGATAGTCCAATTTACCAGTATTTTTCTTTATGACTATTGCTTTCTTTGCATGTATCTCATTTAATAAATTGCTATTTTCCCCAAGATCCTAAAGGTATTGTCCTGTGTTATTATCTTCTGCAAGCTGATTGGTTTATTTTTCTTGGTTAGATCTAAGGTCCACCTGGAATCAATTACTTACTTATCCTTGTCAGTTGGGAAGTAGGGGCATGGAAAAGTTACAGATTTCCTGGACTCTGTCACCATAGCTGGGTAAAAGGTTGAATGACTGCTAATGGGAAACATCTCTGTTGCTAGAGAAAGTAACAGGTCTAAGTGAAAAGAGAGGCATATATAGGGGAAAATTAACCAGAAAAGTTAACACATCAACCAAATAAGACTCTTGCAAATCTTTTTTTTTTTTCTTTTCATTTTATTTTTATTTATTTTTAAATATATTTTAACCGCTGAGCCAAACCGGTTTCTGCAGTTTTCATTATTTTTTAAAGCCAGGAAGACAGTATATTTAAGTGGACCCTTAGACAGTTAATTTTGGAATATGTGGTATACTCCATAGTTCTAAGTCCGAGAGGTAGAAAAACATGGGAAGCATGCATAGCCTTTTACTCTGAATTTGCAGCTAGCAAGTGCTCGGTGAACCGCTTCAGAGATGGTGGTTTCCTTTTTAGAGTGTATTTACCTTTACCTAAACAAACAGGCCTATTACACCCATTTTTCTTTTATTAAAAAAATATATGTTTATTGATTTCAGAGAGAGCTGTCTCCTGCCCCCTGCTGGGGATCATGCCCCAAATCCAGACATGTGTTTGCTCTGAACAGGAATTGACCTATGCCCTGGGTCATATGTCAGTGCTCAACCACTGAACCACAGCAGCTGGGCTTATATCAGCCTGATCTCCAGGGGAGCGGGGCCTAAGCTAGCAGATGGACATCCCATGAGGGGCCCCAGACTGTGAGAGGATGCAGGCCAGGCCAGGGACTCCCCCCCCCCCCCCCCCCCCCCGTGCATGAATTTCATGCATGAGGCCTCCAGTTCTATATAATAAAAGCCTAATATGCAAATTGACTGAAGGCAGAACAACCAGTTGAACACCCAGTCACGGTGATGTGCACTGACCATCAGGGGACAGATACTCAATGCAGAAGCTGCTCGCAGGCTCCAGGCCATTCAAGGCAATGCCAGCAGGCACCCCCCCCCCAAAAAAAAAAAAAAAAAAAATCACCCCATTGGGTGATCGCTGGTCAGGCCTAGGGGCCCTACTATCTAATAAAGAGGCAATATGCTAATTGACCATCATCCACAGCAGAGGCCAAGTTCCCATAAGGAGCCTTAATGAGCAGTCAGCAGGGACCTGAGGCTACGCCCTCCCCCACCTCCATAGGGCCTGATAGGGGAACTCTGGTTGTGCCCCCCACCAGGTGGAGCTTTACTGGGGACTTCAGGCCACGCCCCCACTCCAGCACCAGGTGGGGGGGCGAGGAGGGGGGACACATCAGAATACACCCTCGCCTGGCAGGGCTTGACAGGAGACCTCAGGCTATGCCCCCCACCCAGTGGGGCTTGCCGGGGGACCTCAAGGTGCACCCCCAGTGCTGGGTCAGGGGAACTCAGGCCGTGCTCCCATCCAGTGGGGCTTGACGGGGTCCCTGAGGCTGTGCCCCCCTCCTGGTGCTGGGCCGCGGGGACTGAGGCTGCACTTGACAAGGGAACCTTAGGCCATGACCCCACCCAGCAGGGCTTGACGGAGGACTTCAATGCATCCCCCCTCCTCCCAATCCTGGCACCAGGCCAGGGAACCTGAGGCTACGGCCCCTGCCCAGCAGGGCTTGACAGGATGGGACTGGCCGGGTCTGGGTCTCCCGCGATTTTGAGGTGCATGTGGGTGGGTGGGTACTTGACTCTGGCAGTTAGACCTTGCTCTGGGAGCCCTTGAAGGATGTCCAGCTGACAGGGAGCCAGCCTAGACCACAGCTGGACACGTGCTGCCTCAGAGGTGGGGGAGCCCTCGCTGTGGATGTGTGTGTACCACATCCCCAGAGATAAAAAGCTTCTGCACAGCAAAAGAAAGCAACAAAACACCAAGAAAGCCCCCTGCATTAGAGCACATATTTGTCGGTTAAGGAGCATGCTGGTTACCTTAGCTTTGATCACTTGGTTAAAGTGTATCTGCCAGGTTTCTATACTCAAAGCTACTACTTTTCCTTTGTAATTACTAAACAGCTTGTGCTGAGTCTGTTACTTCTCAAACTTGCCCATTCTAGCATCCTTGATGATTGTTGCCTGACTCTGTAATTAAAATGGTGATCTTCTAATTCTGCCCTTTTACTTTGTAAATTGGCTTTCTTTAGAGATTTCCCACCCATGTCATTATAGACACCTAGTTTATTCAATAGCTTATAATCCTATTGTTACTTATTTTGTTGGATCAAAATTGTTCCTGATCTGGCAGTGGAGCCCCTTTAAAACACATTTTAACACGTCCCAGCATGCTTTGAGTGCATCTTTAATTCTCTGGGCACAGCAGATATTCCATGTTTATCTTGTGTTTTCCATTTCCCATGCCCAGCCTTAACAACAGCCATTTCTCCAAGGAGCCCTGGGTTCTCCTTGTGGGGATTATTTTGAAATAAAGATCTGGTTGCTAGGTGTGCTCATAAGTACTGCCCAGTATTTTACCTGACAACCTATTCTGCCTTCTCTCTATATACTATACCTCCCTAGCTCTCCTCTCCAAAATTTGGTTCCCTTTGTCAGTAAATTTACTTTTTGTTGAGTTGTAGAATATATAGGAAATTGTTTCAGAATTGTTCATGCATGTCTCTGGAAAGGAAGCCTTTGAGAGTTTGTAATTTATTCCTTTTGTCTTTACCTTAAAGACACTACTGATTGAGATTGCTGACCACTGTTTAGGTTGCTAGAGTTAGCCCCCCCCTCCTTCAGTGTGGATATGTTACTTATGAAAATATATTTGTGTTGAATTTAGGGTTCCCCCCATCCTTATTAACTGTGTGTGTGTGTGTGTGTGTGTGTGTGTGTGTGTGTGTGTGTGTGTGTGTGTGAGAGAGAGAGACGCCAGAATTCAACAGTGTAGGGAACATTATAGTAAAAAAGTGTCACACACCTCTCTCTCTTTTTTTTTTTTTTTACCCTTATCCTAATAGGTAATCAATTTCATTGGTCTCTGCTTTGTCTTTTTTTTTTTTTTAATGTATTTTTATTCATTTAAGATAGGGAAAGAGATAGAAATATCAATGATAAGAGACTCATTGATCTGCTGCCTCCTACACTGGGGATCAAGCCCACAACCTGGGCATGGGCCCTGACTGAGAATTGAACAGTGACCTCCTGGTTCATAGGTCAACGCTCAAACACTGAGCCATGCTGGCAGGGCTGTCCTTGTATTTCTTATTGCTCATGCATGCACACACACACACACACACACACACACACATACACACTCACACACTAGTATACTGTACGTACTCTTTTGCACTTTGCTTTTTTCACTTACTAATATAGCCTAGGAATTCGAGAGCTTCTTCCTGCTTTTTGTTTGTCGGTTGCATAGTACTCTTATGTGTGTGTGCCATATCCCCTGGTTGGTCATTAGTTTGTTTCCGGCAGTTTGCAGTTCAAACAGTGCTGTAAGGAAAGACCTAGTGCTTGTGTTTTTGCACTGAAGGAGTTGTATCTTCAGAGTGATTTCTTAGAGATGAAATGGTTAGCTGTAAATGTAGATTTGTTAAGAGACTACAAAATACTTCTCTGTAAGAGTCCTACCAGTTTGTATTCTCATTAGTAGTAAATTCATTGTTTTCCATAGACTCACAAACTGAATGTTAAGTATGGTGGAATACTTTCTCAGTTATGTTAATCTTATAGATAACAAATAGATTTTTAAAAAATGGTATGTCATTATAGTTTTAATTTGATTTTTTCTTATAATGGAACTATAGTATTTTAAAATTAAACTTTTTTCTTTTTCTTTTCCATAGACGAAACTGCAAAGGAAACCCAAATTGCTTGGTTGGGATTGGTGAGCATATTTGGTTAGGAGAAATAGATGAAAATAGTTTTCATAACATTGATGATCCCAATTGTGAGAGGAGAAAAAAGGTGAGCCGTCATTTTTAAGTGATTTCATATGGTATCCTATGTTGGTTGTCTATGATCAGAAACCATGATTGGTTTCTGGTGAGTGTGAAATAGGGCTTTCATCAACATCATGCCCTACCCTTGGCCAAGGTGGCTGAAGGTGGTTCTACCATGTTGGTTGAGACAGTTTTAACAAAATTACCTGAAATTTAAAAAATGATACCTCCTATAACTTTTTTTTAGTTGTAAATTTTCTGTTTGTAGAACTCATTTGTGGGCCTCACTAACCTGGGAGCTACTTGTTATGTCAACACATTTCTTCAAGTCTGGTTTCTCAACTTGGAGCTTCGGCAGGCGCTGTACTTATGTCCAAGTACCTGTACTGACTACATGATGGGAGATGGCATCCAGGAAGAGAAAGGTCAGTGGGATGGGATGGGTTGGGATGAGTATGCTAGGAGGTCACATCCGAACCAGCCAAATAGAGGAAACTTACTTCCGAGTGTTCCTTCCATGTCAGGCATGGTTGTAGTTCTCTATAAACATTGTCAGGATTCAAAATCATTTTCCTTTTTTCTCTGTATCTATCGTTTATGTAAAAAATGGCTAACACTCGCCTAGCCAGTATAGCTCGGTGGTCGAGCATCGACCTATGAACCAGGAGATCACAGTTTGATTCTAGGTCAGGGCACATGCCTGAGTTGTGGGCTCAATCTCTAGATCCCCAGTAGGGGACGTGCAGGAAGCAGCCAATCAATGATTCCCTCTCATCATTGCTTCTGCTCCCTCTCCCTCCCTCTCTAAAACCAATAAAAAAAAAAAAAGGCTAATATTCAAGTGAAGAAAATATGTTTGATGATTCTTTAAAATTTTCTTTAGCATTTAAAAAATTTTTGATTTTTAGAGATATATATATTGATTTGTTATTCCACTTATTTATGCATTCATATGATTCATATATTCAAAAATATATATATATATTTTTTAATTGATTTGTTTGAAGAGAAGGATAGAGAGTTAGAAATATTGATGAGAGAAACGTCAAGCAGCTGCCTCTTGCACACTCCCCACTGGGTATGTGCCGCAACCAAGGTCCATGTCCTTGACTGGAATCGAACCTGGGACCATTGAGTCTGCAGGCCGATGCTCTATCCACTGAGCCAAACTGGTCAGGGTTGGTTCAGATTCTTGTGTATGTCCTGACCCAGGATCAAACTCACAACCTGGATGCATCGGGATGATGCTCTAACCAACTGAGCTACCCAGCCTGGGCTACATTTTATATTCTTATGTAGTTTACAGGTACACTTCTCTTAGTAATAGGCTGTGATTGTAGTCCATTAATTTCTAGTGACTGATAAAAATCAGTAAATAAAGCAGGCAGGATTACTCTTTTACCTAGTTTGTTACCTTGATGTATTTTAATTAATAAATAGTTCGGTATAATGCCAAGTAAGCAAATAACACTAAGAAGCTACTGTCAACTCTAATGAGGGCAATATACAGTCCAGGGCAAGGCCCTAGTTAATAGTTCATCTGTAAGCCTCGTGCTGTATTTTATATGATTGATTGGGGCACAATGCTAACCTCTTTATTTTTTTTATTTTTTTTTGTATTTTTATTGATTTTGGAGAAGAAAGGGAGAGAGAGGTTGAAGCATCAATGATAGAATCATTGATCATCTGCCTTCTGCATGCCCCCTACTGGGGACGAGCCAGCAACCCAGTCATGTGCCCTTGACTGGAATTGAACCTGGGACCCTTCAGTGTCCCATGTCCTCCCCCCCCCCCCCCCCCCCCTACACACACACACTCTATCCACTGGGCCAAACCAGCCAGGGCACAATGCTAATCTCTTTTGCTAGGAGTGGGAAAAGATAGGATTTGTAAGCCCCACATCTTGCCGTCCTTCAGACAATGGTGATAGTTGAGGGTCTTGAGGGTCTTGGTTTTGTGCTTGTCAATGGTAATCTTTGCTTCACAACACAATGTTTAAAAATCCTTAAGTTTGGCCGAGACCGGTTTGGCTCAATGGATAGAGCGTCGGCTTGGGGACTGAAGGGACCCGGGTTCGATTCCGGTCAAGGGCATGTACCTTGGTTGCGGGCATATCCCCAGTAGGGGGTGTGCAAGAGGCAGCTGATTGATGACTCTCTCTCATCAATGTTTCTAGCTCTCTATCTCTCTCTCCCTTCTTCTCTGTACAAAATCAATAAAATATATTTAAAAAAAAAAAAATAAAAAAATAAAAAAAAAATAAAAATCCTTAAGTTTGTTTCCTCAATGCTTTATTTCTATAGTTCTGAATATTTACATCTAGATCAATAGTGTGTTAAATATTTAAGATAATAGTGTATGTAAAGGATGAAATCCTAAAAATGGATCATTTAAAAATTTTTAGCATTGTTTTGCTGAAGCATAAATTTACTAATGAGAAGATAATTAAACAACAAATGAAAACTAAATTTTTATTTTATAAAATGATGTACCATAGCTGAAACCGGTTTGGCTCAGTAGATAGAGCTTCAGCCTGCGGACTGAAAGGTCCCAGGTTCGATTCTGGTCAAGGGCATGTACCTTGGTTACTGGCACATCCCTTCCTCTCTGTAAAAAACTTAAAAAAAAAAAAAAAAAATATATATATATATATATATATATATATATATATATATATATATATAGAATAAACATAAAGATGTACCATAGCCAGAATTCTTTAGGTATCTTTATGAAATTTAAATATTTTTTCTAAACACATAAATTGTAACATTTCACCAACGTTCTTCATAAGCATGTACATTTCTGCTGTTACCTTTTTTTTTTTTAAATATATATTTTTTTAATAAAGAGAAGAAGGGAAAGGGAGAGATTGAAACATCAGTGATGAGAGAAAATCATTGATCGGCTGCCTCTTGCACATCCCCCTACTGGGAATTGAGCCCACAACCCAGGCATGTGCCCATGACTGGAATTGAACCCAGGACCCTTCAGTCCGAAGGCTGACTGCTCTAACCACTAAGCAAAACTTGCTAGGGCTCTGCTGCTATCTTAAGTCAACAGTGCTATGTAGTAGAAAGGCTTACGTTGGGAATGATGGGATCTGAGTTCTAGGCACAGCTCAGCCACTCCGTTATTTTCTAGACAGGAAAACCAGTTGAAGATCTTATGGAATATAAATAGCCTGTAAAATAAGAGTTGGAATAGATAAGACCTACTTGATAACTTTTAACAGGCTGCAAAGACCTTGCACCTCAGGAAGTAAGATTTTTATCTTTATTTTGCAAATGAAATAACTGATTTCCTGGAGGTCACAAAAGAGATAAACTGTCAGTTTAATCAGAAGACAAACTGCACAATAACTTGAACGGAGAAAGCAAAGGGGATTATTAACAGGAAATTCAAGTAATGGGGAATTGTTTAGTAAGAATTAAACAGGACTGGAAACGATACAGGAGTAGCAGACATAGGGAGCAGCCGTTAAGTCTGGGGCGGAGATCCGACCTCTTTGGAGAGAGCATTGCCATGGTCACTAGATGCCCAGACACGGCTGAGATGCCTCAAAAGCCTCTGAAGGCACCTGAGAGGTGCCTGAAGGTCATTCCCTGGGTGTCATTTAGGAGGAAGTGTCTCAACAGACACATGCTGCAGTGAACTGGCTACCAGAGGAGGTACCGAGGGGCGCTCCTGGCCACCTGTAGGCTGCAGGAACCCGGAGTCTGAGAAGCTGCGCCTCCCGGAGCCTGGTGACAGGCATAACTGAACTCTCCAGTGCCTCCTACTAATAAGACTTAACCCTTCCTGGCAAAGGAGAAATATTTGCAGAGCTCATCTCTGTTACCGTAGAGCAGGCAAAGAAGGGTGGATTTGGAGGTGAGGGGCAAAACATTAATAACTGGCACAGAAGGTAACACTCCATGTCTTTTAGGGCCCTTGAGGTTCATGCTTCCAGTTTGCGTACCTTCCCCAACTCATTAAAATTCGCTACTCAAAAGTTCTAGGATTTTTTTTTTTAAATATATTTTTTTATTGATTTTTTTACAGAGAGGAAGAGAGGGATAGAGTTAGAAACATCGATGAGAGAGAATCATCAATCAGCTGCCTCTTGCTACCACCCCTACGGGGGATGTGCCCGCAACCAAGGTACATGCCCTTGACCGTAATCGAACCTTAGGACCCTTCAGTCCACATGCTTAATGCACTGAGCCAAACCGGTTTCTGCTGTAGGATTTTTAACAGCAAAATCTTCCTTCAAATTTGAAACTCTAGGCTTGAGGTTCCTCTCACTTGCTCTGAGTATGGCAAGTCCACATTAATGAGATTTCATTAAAGTGTTTGGCTATCTTTTACGAACGGGGAATATGGTTTTTATTGCGGGAATCAATGTTTTCAGTGTGATTTGACATTGTAGAAACTAGTCATGACTGTGATTGTTGAATTGTACATATGGCCTCTTGCTTTCATGGGATGTGTATAGGCGGCTCTGGCTGCCTCGTTACTTCCAAAAGACATGGTTATGAATTTGTTTCTTTTGAAGTTTTAAAACAGTAATAAAATACTGTGTAGCTTAAATGTAAGGGTGTTTAATTATATCTCATGTGAAGATGAAGTACATTTTAAAGAGTAGCAGTTTTTTAAACATAAACATTTTTTTAAAAATAGATTATGAGCCTCAAACAATTTGTGAGCATCTCCAGTACTTGTTTGCCTTGTTGCAAAACAGTAATAGGCGATACATCGATCCATCGGGATTTGTTAAAGCCTTGGGCTTGGACACAGGGCAACAGCAGGTAAGAACCTTGTGTTTATTTTTTTCAATATAAACAGGTACCCAAGCATTCCTTGGAATGTTTATAGAAGGGAATGAGTTTATAAATTATTTTTTCTATCTTGAATTAGAGCATTTATTTACTGTCCCATTTATTATACCTTTTTCTTGATCCCATTTCTGAAAATTCCTATTTTGGGCACAAGCTGATTCATTATAGCTCTAGTCCTTGTTGGAAAATGTCAGATAGTTCAAAGTACAGATAGTTTTGGGAATGTTTAACATATTTCTATTTGTATCAGAAGTTGAAAAGCAAGATACGATTTTTCTTTTTATTAACCCAAACTTGTATTGTAGGATGCCCAAGAATTTTCAAAGCTCTTTATGTCGCTTTTGGAAGATACTTTGTCTAAACAAAAGAATCCAGATGTGCGGAACATTGTCCAACAGCAGTTCTGTGGGGAATATGCTTATGTAACTGTGTAAGTGTGTTTCTTGGCTTTCCATGATACGTTTGATTTTTAAGACAGTCGTTCATATGTTATCTAATTTTTAGTTCAGTTCCACATTATAGCTTTAGTGGGTTATCATGGGACCTGAAGTATTTATAGACGTTGCCGTGGGAACATGTAAACAACCGTCTTGATAGTTACAGTTGAACCCATCCAGGTGTTGGGAAGCTTGCTAGTTTAGCACTTGCCATTTATTTTATGGCTGTGGCGTGAGCTGAAAGAGTAAGATTAAAGTCAGCTAGAATACTAAGAGTAAATATAGACTAACTCTTAGAAACTTTCCTAATCATAAAACACATGGCCTCCCCAATCACTTTCTGTGTTTACTTATTTACTAAGTATATAGATAGTGTGAATAATTTCTGTGAAAGAGGACTAAGGGGATAAATGCTTCTATCCGTATTTCTAGGATGTAAAACAATAGAACTTTGTTTTTCCCACCCCGATCTTAATTTTATCACTATTTTATTGCAGTTGCAGTCAGTGTGGCAGAGAGTCTAAGCTTTTATCAAAGTTTTATGAACTGGAGTTAAATATCCAAGGCCACAAACAGTTAACAGATTGTATCTCGGAATTTTTGAAGGTATTCAGTTTTGGTGTATATATTGTTTCTGCTCATTAACAGTTAAATACTATTCTGAATGTTTTTTTTATTTAATGGATAGTCATTTCAACATTTTTTATATATGAAGTGTCTCTGGGTATGTAATGATCTAGAAGAACCTTAGTAAATTATAAAGTATTGAAGCAGGCTGCATCTTAAAATAATTTTTGGCTATTTCAGGCTATTTTTTGTATATAAAAACTTCCTGTATGATCAGGGGTGGTAGAGTGTTTGAGGAAATTGAAGCTGTTACTTTGTTTAATTTACATTTTCATTTAATGAGAGCTAGAATGTGTTGAATGTAAATAGTGTTTACATCACCGGTTATTCTTCAAGTCTGCCCCTTGATATTTCTGCTTCCTGTATATTTCGATTTAGGTGCTGATGTGAATGAAAGTGGTCTCCTTTTGTTTGGGGAGGGGAGGAGGATGGGCGCTGCTAGGCGGAAACCTTGGCTGTCAAGTAGGAACAGACAACATAATAGATGAACTTATTGTTTTTTGTACGTTTCCTACTCCCTTAGTACAACCATTAGATGCTGGATACATTTGTTGAGTCCACTCAGCTAGGTGTTGAGTGATCGCTGCTCTGGCACTGTTTCAGCTGTCAGGGATAACCATAGTGAGCAAAATATACAAAACATTTTTGCCTTTAAGCAGCTTCTAGTGTAACGGTGTTGGGATCAGGGAGGGGCAGTTACAATAAATACAAGGAGAATACAAAGAGTGTCTACTGTAACGAGTGCTGTGGAGAAAACCAAAGCAGGGATGAGGGTGTGGTTGGTTACAATTAGAAACAAAGTGACAGAAGGCGATGGTGTGAGCCATGCAAGAATAGGGAGGAGCATATTTGGGATATTTTGTGACTGAAGTGAAACAAAAAGGGGAGAATGACAGGAGATGAAGTTGTAGAGACAACCAAGGACCGTTTTGGACAGGGCCTGGTACACCTTTGTCAGAAGTTTGACTTTTACTTAGAGTGAGGTGAGACGCCATTGGAGAGCTGTGAGTGTGGGAGGGATGGAGCCTTCTTTCACAGGATAACTGGGTGCTGTCTTGAGAAGAGGAGGCTGATGTGGGGCAGGGCAGACAGAGGCTGATGGTGGTTTGGACCAAGGGTTAGCTGAAGAGATGATGTGTTTGGATTTTAGGTGTATTTTCAGAGTAGAGCTGATGAAATTTGCAGGTTGGATATGGAAAGCAAGAGGTACCAAGGATTACTAAGGTTGACCTGAGCACCTGGAAGAATGTGGTTGCCATAACCCAGATGTAGAGGATTGTGGGAGGAGCAGGTTTGGGAGAGGAATCAGGAGTTTGCACTGGGGCATGCTATATTTGAGAGGCATAGTTGAGGGATAAATTGAAGCTAGATAAAGTTTCTGGGATTGCCCTATCTGGTTTGGCTCAGTGGAGTGTCAGCCTGCGGACTAAAGGTTCCCAGGTTCTCTTCTAGTCAAGGAAACATGCTCGGGTTGTGGGCTCCATCTCCAGAAGGAGGCATGCAGGAGGCACCAGTCAATGATTCTCTCTCATCATTGTTGTTTCAATCTCTCTTTCTGCCTCTCCCTTCCTCTCTCTGAAATCAATAAAAATATATTTTTTAAAAATCCCCAGGGGTAAGAGGCAAGGGCTAAGGACTGAGCCCTGGGACATTCAAGCATGAAGAAATAGGGAGATAGGAGCAGTGGGCAGAGGATGCTGAGGAGGAGGAGGACTGGCCAGTGAGTTAAGAGGGAAACAAGTGAATGGGATCCTGGAGCAAAGTGAATAAAGTGGTGGTGCCAGTCTTGTATTATTTACAGTAATCTGTATCAAAGCTTTTATAGAAACAAAAAGGAAAAATGTAGAAAGAAACTTCCTTTAGCTATATATAACATTGGATTTTCCTGCACTCTTATCTTTCTCTTATGTGGTTCAATAATTTTAACAGTGTGCGTGTGCACATGTGTGTGTAAAATTGTGTGTGTGTGTGTGTGTGTGTGTGTGTGTGTGTGTGTGTAGAAAGATAGATATAATAATTTTATATTGTGGTGCCCAAGTGTAGTTCATATCCATTCAATATTTTTAAATTAAGCTGCATCAAAATGCATACCTATATTTCTTTTTTTCTTTCTTTTAATATATTTTATTGATTTTACACAGAGAGGAATTAAGAGAGATAGAGAGTTAGAAACGTTGATGAGAGAGAGTCATCGACCAGCTCTCCTCTGGCACACACACAAACTGGTGATGTGCCCGCAACCAAGGTATGTGCCCTTGACCGGAATCGAACCCGGGACCTTTCAGTCCGCAGGCCAATGCTCTATCCACTGAGCCAAACCGGTTATGGCTATTTCTTTCTTTCTTTTTTTTTTTTTAATTAAATCTTTATTGTTGAAAGTATTACAGATGACCCTTTCTCCCCCCCACCCCCGCATTGAACCCTACTGTTATGCCCCACACCTGCCCGGGCCTTCACCACCCTACTGTCTGTGTCAAAGGGTTATGCATATATGCATACAAATGCTTTGATCTCTCCCTCCCACACCTCCCCCTTCTTTCTGAGGTTCTGCAGTCTGTTCTATGCTTCTAAAACCCATTTCCTTATAATCCTCTAACCTGCATTAACTGGACAGAGGACCCAAACACAAATATTTTTTTTTTTAAATCCTACATTTTGAAAAGAGGCACATCAATTTTAAAAAGACGAAAGCAGTGCTTTTTATCTTACATGTCCTTCATTATTTAGAGTAGCTTGGTTTTAAACAGTCTGAATGGGAGCTATTAGTTAAGCTGAAATTCTGTGATCAGTTTTAAAAATCTTTCCATCTTCTAGTTTTTAAAACATGTCTTATTCCGTATTAGGAAGAAAGACTAGAAGGAGACAATCGATACTTCTGTGAAAACTGTCAAAGTAAACAGAATGCAACGAGGAAGATCCGACTGCTAAGCCTTCCTTGCACTCTGAACTTGCAGCTCATGCGTTTTGTCTTTGACAGGTAAGTATGTGCAAGTGGTAGTGTTGGTAGCTCATTGTGGCATAATGTGCAGATTTTACTGTAGACAGGCAATAAAATGCTTATAACTTGTCATTTAGCTTTGAGGGTGAAAGTTATAGATGGAGCCTGTTGATTTGAAATGCGCGTATTTCATGATTTTATCACAAAGTTCTTAAAGAAGCTAGACATAAAATTCAGAACTAGAAAAAGTAGAGACTCCTTTTTATTCTAAGTAATTATTTTTAAGGTGCAAAGGAAAAGCAGACATTTAGGTAGGAACTGAATTACCTTGGCATTCTGTATTATTAAGAACTAGAGTAACATTTTCTACTCCTTATGGTACCCTCAATTCCATGAGAATACATGTCTTTTATTTTATCATTAAAACCAGTCTTTTCTGCCATGAAAAAGCAGGAGAACCTGTGGTTTCCTTTTGTGATCAAATCCAAAGCTCTGGAAAAAAGTGCTGTTTGGAATTAGCACTTTAAATTCATACCTCTTAAGTGGTTGGGTTTATTTTGCCCAAAAGACAGTATTACGTTTGCTTATATGCATCCTTGAAGAAGGAAATCTGTTGAGTTGATTAAGATAGCTGACAGAGCTTATGCATTGTTTTATGATTATTTTAAATATAATTAGCTTTTCTCTTGCTTAGGCAAACTGGACATAAGAAGAAGCTGAATACCTACATTGGCTTCTCAGAGCTTTTGGATATGGAGCCGTATGTGGAACATAAAGGTAATGTTTTTACTGAGCAGTGATAGTCATAGTGCTCAGAGATCATAACTTGTGATCTGCCTATGATGAGTACAGAATAGTACTGCTACATTTTATTACCTACTCCCTGGGAACAAAGGCTTTCTGGGTGAGCTGAGATGTCACTTCATTTTCTATGAGTTAGGCACACAACAGAGATTAGATGGTTCAGCAATATGTGCATAACTAAGGATATCTATATAATAAAAGCCTAAGTGACCATTATGGCAGAATGACCAGAAGGACTGGTTGCTATGATGCGCACTGACCACCAGGGGGCAGATGCTCAACGCAGAAGGTGCTCCCTGGTGGTCAGTGTGCTCCTACAGGGGTAGCCCTGCTCAGCCAGAAGCCAGGCTCATGGCTGTGCTGGAGAGCGCAGCAGCGGTGGCAGGAGCCTCTTGCCTCTGCATCAGCACTAAGGAGCAGTGAACTGAGCGGTAAGGAGAAGGAAGGGAGGTTCTGGACTGGGAGAAGGATGTCTGACTGCCGGCTTAGGCTGCTTCCCTCTGGACTGCCAGAGGGTGCATGCGGGGCTGGGGGACACACTGCAGTCCCCCCCCCCCCTCACACACACACACACACACACACACACACACACACACACACATTTCATGTACCAGGCCTCTAGTAAAATAATAAAAAATGAAAAAGATATTTCATTGTTTCTGAACCCACACTTGCTACCTTTTAACTGTCAGTATTTATAATTTTTTTAGTAGATTGTCTCCAAGCTACCTCCACATTTTTTACTTATTTAAAAACCTTTTATCAAAAACTTTAGCCGAAACCAGTTTGGCTCAGTGGTAGAGCGTCGGTCTGCGGACTGAAAGGTCCCAGGGCATGTACCTTGGTTGCGGGCATATCCCCAGTAGGGGGTGTGCAAGAGGCAGCTGATCGATGACTCTTTCTCATCGATGTTTCTAACTCTCTCTATCCCCCTCTCTTCCTCTCTGTAAAAAATCAATAAAATCTTTTTAAATAAATAAATAAATATACATTTGGTTTAAAAAAAAAAAAACTTTAGGTGACATAATTCTAATATGTATATTGTAATTCATATCTGTGATCATTGGTGAGAAGAGTTCTAGGATGTTATGAGATAGTTTCATCAAGAAATAGTTTACTACTTTCTCTTTTGATAGCCTTGACCTTACCAAACAGGGTGATACTTATCAGAGAAAACCAACATCTTGCCCTTACTAGAAGGACTGTTTTACTTCCCTTTTAAGATTGATTGTACTTTTTTTATTTATTGATTGATTTTTTTACAGAGGGATAGACAGAAATATCAATGAGAGATAAACATCGATCAGCTGCCTCCTGCACACCCCCCACTGAATTTTTGATGTCATAATTATATAATAAACTCTGTCTCTTTACACAAAAAGATCACAGCAGAAATAAGCCATAAAACAAAACATTGAAAAGAAATGATTGTGGGGAGGTTGGGAAGCCATGTGGTAAATATGTGAGGTTTAAAAATGTATGATGCTTTGTCAGGAATGTGGCTTAAAAATTGGATCTTCCCTGGAAGAACGACACTGCTGACCACAGACTGTGTCACTGTTAAATTTGGCCGAACAAATAAATGACCTTCGCTCTAACCCTGGCCGTGTGGCGCATTGGTTGAAGCGAGGTCCTGTACACCGGGAAGTCCGGGGTTTGATTCCTGGTTGCAGGTTGGGGCAGACATCCAGGTTTATTTAAAGGAGAATAGGAATTTAATGCTTATGAAGAAATTTGAGTGAAGAATCAGTATAGATTTTTAATGTCTTCTCTCTTATATCCAGTTGTCTTACCTATACCTATTGTGAAAGGCAGGTTTTCTTAATGACTTCCTTTTTTTTTTTTTTTTTTCCGAAAACATTTTCCTTTTACATAAGCAGTAGATTTTTACTTTTGCAGTCATCTTTTATTAGTTTGCATAATTGATTTTTGTAACAAGTTGGAGAATTTGAACAGAATTTTGGTAAGTATATGACTCAGGCAAATTATCCGGGAAAGGCAAAGTATAATATCGAGTAGCTTTGTAACCCTGAGCACCCAGGATGCCATAGCTTTTCCTCTGTCTATGAAGGGATGGAGAATTAATATAGTGAGCTTATATTATCATGTAAGTCTTAATTTCTTTTAATCTTAGGTGACATGTTTAGGATTCTATCAGATGCATAAAGAATTGTATTCATTATCATTTAGGGTTAGAGTATAAGAAAAAATATTGTTACCCTAAATTTTATTTTTACTTTCTCCTTTCCTAGGTGGATCCTATGTGTATGAACTCAGTGCAGTTCTCATACACAGAGGAGTGAGTGCTTATTCCGGCCACTACATTGCCCACGTGAAAGATCCACAGTCCGGCGAATGGTATAAGTTTAACGATGAAGACATAGAAAAGATGGAGGGGAAGAAATTACAACTAGGGATTGAGGAAGATCTAGGTAAAACCTTTAAGTTGTGAGTGCCCTTTTAAAATATAAATTTTTTTTTGCCGGAAATATTTGTGATAAGTTATTATGGTCCAAGATTGTATGGGCTGTCAAGGATATTTGTATTTATTAAACATAATCTCTGAACATCTTTTATTAGCAATGCTTGAATTAAAAAAAAAAAAAAAAGATTTTGCTCCAGAGGTGGTTTCCATAATGTCATGTTTGAAGGCAAATATTTAAATGTTTTCAGTTATCAGGTTAATTGGGAGAGACGGAGGCGATGGTAAGTATTAAACTAAACATGTTGGCTAGTAGATTTAATACGTAGGATTTGTAGTCCTTTTCTCTGGGTCGGGAAATTTATTTTTGGCATTAATTACAGCAAGGGAACTTTGCTTCAAGGACCGTACCTACTCCTTCCTGTTGCATGTCTTATCCCAACCATGGAGCAGGGAGCAGCACCTCTGGGAAGGAAGCTTTTTGCCATTTTGTAGTGATGAGTCTGCCTTAAAAAGTACTTCTTGAAATAGTATCTTAGTATGGAGCTCTCATCAACATAGTTTTCTTAGGCCAAAATACCCATTTATTCCCTGAAGCATTTATTCCCTGAAGGGAGCACACGGTTTTCTCCGTAGGAGCCATCTGGCTGAGGTTTTCCAGTTGTCATTTTTCGGTGAGATTTGGACGGGATCTAAATAAGGGAAAAGGAATGGGAATGAGCGTGTGTCTTCGTGCCACTGTTTTTTAATGGATCAGAACCACTTTTCCAAAGAATCGGAGGAGCATGGCAGTTGGCTGGCTTTGCTGGCTTTCAAGGCATGTGGACAATCTTTCTACAGATCTCCATGTGCTGACTATTCTTGTGATTTAAATATAGAAAATAACTCTTACAAGAATACTAGGTATTTATGGGCCAGGTAGAACATTTCATGTTTCTACCGATTATTTTATTCTTTTTGCTCATTAGAGTGTCTTGGAGTGTGTGTGTGTGTGTGTGTGTGTGTATTAATTTTATTTCTTTGGGAAATTGAATTAAGTCTGGATTTATTTTTATAATTTAAGACCAATATTAAAACCCAAGTAGTAGTACTTTTATTGTTGTTCCAGGTATGTTCTCATGAAAAACACTACCATTTTTTGAGAATGGAATATGGCAGGCAAGGTATTGGGGGTGGAGGGAGGAAATATTTTTAAAGATTCATACATCTGTAGAGCCTGCTAAATTTGTGCTGCATTTTAATGTTTAGATCATATAAAAGTTTCTTGATCATATAGGAATTGTTTTTAAGTCCACCTCACCCCCATGAAAAAATAAACAAACTAGGCATTCTGATTTAATCATCTTTGATTTCTTTCCCTCAGCAGAACCTTCCAAGTCCCAGACACGTAAACCGAAGTGTGGCAAAGGAACTCACTGCTCTCGGAATGCATACATGTTGGTTTATAGACTTCAGACTCAAGAAAAGCCCAATACGTCTGTCCAGGTACCAGGTAAGCCGCTTCCCATTATTGTGTCAGGCAAGTATCTTAGAACACCATGCTGGAAGGTCAGGGACGGGAACAGATTGTTTTTGTTGTTAATATAGGTTGATTGATTGCATATTGTTAGTATTGGTGAAAGTAGATATAATCATTACAAATTTACTCTAACGTAGTGAAGTTTTAAAATAGGGAATCCTTTAACAGAACTATTCCATTGAACCTCCCTAACCTCCCACAAAAACAAACAAAAAAAACAACAACAATCTCCTCCTCTCCCCCTCAAAAAATGCAATTTAAAAAAATCCAATAGGCAATCCAGAAATATTTAATGAGCAGATTGGGCCTGGTTGGCGTGGCTCCGTGGTTGAGCGTCAACCTATGAATCAGGAGGCCATGGTTTGATTCCCGGTCAGAGCACATGCCTTGATATCATCTCCAGTGGGGAGTGCAGGAAGCAGTAGATCAGTGATTCTATCTCAACATTGATTTTTCTCCCTTTTTCTCTGAAATCAAATAAAAACACATTAAACCAAAATTTGGTTTTATTTTGTTCAATTTGTAAGTATTTTCTAGATTTCAGTTCTGTGCTCTGTAGCACCGTGTGTGTGTGTGTGTGTGTGTGTATGTGTGGTGTGTGTGTTGTGTTGTGTTTTTAAACATGTTATTAGGTTTTGAGAGAGAGAGAGAAGCATTAATGTCAGATAATAGCATCACTGTCTCCCACATGAACCCCAGCTGGGGAATGGACCAAAACCTGGGTATCTGCCTTTACCAGAATTCGAACTGGCAACCTTTCGGTGCACAGGATGGCACCCAACTGAGCCACACTGGCCAGGGCAGTAGCATGTATCTTGAAGTTGTGTTTCGAGCCGTCTGATGGTTCTGGTTGGCTGTAATACCATGGATAGCCAGGTGGGGACTCACTCTAGTGTCTGTGTTCAGTTTCACTTTTGCCTTCAGGTTGGGGTTCTCTAACAGAAAAGGAGAACTGGAAACTGCCTCCAAAATACGAGCCGGTGTTTTATGTAATTTAGAGACGGCGTGGTTCGGTGGATACGGGATAAAGCGGTTTTGCTTTTTCTTTCTGTTTTGAACAGCCTTTCTTCAAGAGCTGGTAGATCGGGATAATTCCAAGTTTGAAGAGTGGTGTGTTGAAATGGCCGAGATGCGTAAGCAAAGTGTGGATAAAGGCAAAGCAAAGCACGAAGAGGTTAAGGAGCTGTACCAAAGGTTACCTGCTGGAGCTGGTCTGTAAGATATTCTGGGACAGCACTGTTGCCATTGAGTGCCTTGTTCTATGTTCACAAATGCGTACGAACTTTTCCCTTCCCCATCTTATAACTCACTAATGCCAGCCTTGTATGCTATAAAATTGCCATGTAAACCAGCACTAATGTGATGTGTAGCATTTCATATAATTTTCATTATCATGTACTTTTCAAAAATGGGAAGCTCTTAATTATAAGGTTTAGGTCAGCACTTCATATAAGACAAAATAGATATTCCTATTTTGTGAGATAGTAACTTAAGGACAAATTGGATTGGGTTACTATGGAGGCAGCTCAGGCTATTTGGTTTCCTTGTACTTTGTACCCTTGCAGTATTAACAGGCATTTTTATTAATATGAGTACTATTTCTTAGGATTAATTTGAAATTTAATATAAAAAGGAAACCTCAACTTTTTAAAGCTGGTATGCCATTTGTAATAATATATTGTCTTAGTCCTTTCATAGACATGAATTCCTCTAAACCCAATTTCTACTTTAGAGAGGCAATTCAATCCTAATTTTAGAACATAAACACTAAAGCATAATTGTAGTTACGTATTTTGTCTTTTTTATGATCTTAATTCTCCATTACTGTTACAACTTTAAACAAAAGATGAATATAAATGACTAAATCTGAGGAATACCTCTTAAAAGTTCTTTATTTTTAAATCCTCACTGGAGGATATATTCATTGATTTTTAGAGAGAAGGGAAAGGAGAGAGAAACATGGATTGGTTGCCTCGCCTATAGGTCCTGACAGATGATCAAACGTGCAATGTAGGTATGTGCCCTGATAGGGAACTGAACCCACAATCTTCCGTGTACTGGACAATGCTCCCACCAACTGAGCCACCCCGGGCAGGACTTAAAAGTTCCTCGTAAATGATTTGATTCTGAGATTTCTTTGTAAACTTTTACTGTCTCTCTGTTTCAAGGGTTGGGATTGTCCTAAAGAATTAAAAACTGACCTTAATTTTCTTGGAAATGAACATATGATTCAAAGTTGTAAATTCAGTCATTCGAGTTCGGAACTGGGAGTCAATTTATTGAACTTTAGTCCGTTTTCATTATTCATTGAACAAGAGAAAGGGATTTGCGGAGTCTGAAGGAAAATGCTCTTTGGAACCACTCTTTATAAATCCGCACGGTCCAAAGATGTCAAGTCAGCGCATTCTTATGCTTCTCTTGGCTGTTTTCATTCCGTCTGTAAGGACTGTGCTGTAATAAAATAATCTTAAATTATCTGTAGATAAAGTATTTTAAATATTTTTTAATGACTCAATCTTTATAGACTTAATGCTCCAAAAGAAAATATTTTGTTCAAAATCCAGGCATTAAAATATAACTTTGAATCCAAATGTGCATTTCCCTTAGGTAAATATTGTAACAATAAGCTTTGCTGGTTTGTCAGATGCTGAGATTTTATACAGTGTGTTATCTCCAGATTGATCATTAAAAAGAGTGTTTATCGCATTTGGCGAGTTGGCTTACCCATGCCTCTGGAAGGCAATGCTTAGGTAGGTTGCAAATCACAGAAGCAGAGCAGGTCTTTGAGAACCTCCCAGGAGCCTTTCTTTCGGCCAGAAACATTTGTGGTGTAAAAAGTGCTCCATAAGTGGATTCTGACCTAACCATTAAAACGGATGCCAGACCTTGACTGCCAGGGACGCTCTGGGCAGAGATTGATCCAACTCTAATGTGATGGGGATCAAAAGTGGAAAGAAAGAGCTCAGTCACTTCCCTTCCATGGGTTTCTCAGCACATTGAAATCGGCGCCCAAATCTGCACACCAAATCTACACCAGGATTATAGGCCCGGTCTCCGCTCTGTTCCACATTATACACCACACGTGATTTTTCTAATCCTCATGTAGTGCATTGAACCCAAACAGGAAGCTTCACTGGGAAGTTCACTCTGGTATGGGGATTGGAAAATGTCTGGAACTAATTGCCTCTGAGTCCCATTGCTATTGCATGAGCCAGGATAGAGTCGCTCTGGGCTTTGGACCCAGCAGACACCCCCTGGCAACCAGTGCTATTTGCTCTTTTAGTTTCCCTATATTTCTTACAAAGGTCAAGATTCTCATGGCTTATTTTTTTCATTTAGAAACAGCAGATACTTCCCCAGCTGTGGGGGAAACAAGAACACCTGGTGAATCCTTCTTGAAAGTTGCTCTGTGTAGAAATCCTGTTTTCCCTCCTTTTGACAGCCTTCAGATTACTAAATTTTAATTGATGTGACTATATGCGGGGAAAAAGTCAGACATGCTAAGACTTTGATTTTTCCTTTCTTAGAGAGGGATTTCGCTTTCTTAACTCGATCCCTGCCAAGTTAAACTTGATAAATGGCAAATAACAACGAGAGGTATTTTAAATTTCATTAACCATATCATTATATGTTGTGAAATGCCATGGCCATGTTACCTCTACTAAATCTTAAGGTCTCCTCTTTTATATATTGTATGAATTGTATAATTAACTTTTCTGTATCTCTTTTCTTCCAAAAAGCTCAAAATGCTTCACATATCTTATCTTTTATATTCAACAACATCCCTGTGAGGTAGGTAGAAGGCAGGTATTATTACCTTCATTTTACAAATAAAAGACATGAAGCATAGAGAGTTTAAGTGACTTGCTCAAGTTCAGTCTCTTGGTGGCAGAACTTGGATTAGACCTTGGTCTCAGCTTGTAGTCAGTCACCTGCTCTTCCTCTGCAGCCGTGTCTGAGCTGATCAGTACAGTTTTAGCACAAACAAGCATCCAGAAATCCTGAACTTTGTTTTTGTAAATGTTGAAATGTTTTATGCTAAACGTAAGATGGGAGTTAGTTTTCTAGATTTGTAACTCAAGAGAAGTATAAAATTGCTCAAAAATGGGCTTTGAAGTGAACTGTCCATCCCTCAGATCTCATCAGAAGTAGTACATAATACAAATATATAAATTCAACCTCTGTATGTTTTCTTCTATGTTTTATGCTTGGACTCACTGGAGATCTTTGTAAGTAATCAAAGCTGGCCCTTTACCTTTAATTTTGGCTTGTAGGGAACTCAGGGACTCTTGTTTTCCCAAATTAAAACTCACGTTGAGGTGTTTGTTTTTTTTCTTAATTTTTACTACTTCAAATTGAAATTCAATTCTAGTGCATTTCATCCTGGAATTCATTTAAAATCGCTTATTTCCTTGAAACAATAAATAGATGATGATATGGTGATTGGGTGAGGAAATCAGTTACCTTTTCCTCCATATGCCCATATCATCTTGGATGAAGAAAAGTTCAGTGATTGAAACAGGCCCGTTAAAGTGCAGTTATCGCCGATGGGTTAATCTCTGACTTAGAACTCAGTCAGGCTTCTTTTACTTTTCAGATGTATGTTATGTATTGACAAAAAGGATTGATGAAAAGGGTTTTATGGAATACACAGTAGGGGATGAGGTTATGTGATTTGCGAGCCAGCATGGAGCGGCTTGTCAACAATCACGGTGTCCTGATCAAAGCTCTGCTGTGCTATCAAGCAAGACACTTCTCTCTGTGGAAACCTCTTTTGTAGAATGTGGCTAATAATACCAGCCGTCCCCTAGGCACTCAGCAGATTCACCCCCGTCACACAGCAGCTTGAAACCAGAGGAAGGAAGGATAGGGTAGTTAAATGGAGCTCTGTGTCATATTTATCCAACATTTCCCCCTCAGCAATGATTCCGATTCCGCGAACTTTGGACAGAGTTTGCATTGTCTTTTGAGAAAAATGAATGTATCACGTAGTTAAAAAGCTGTGAAAATACATAGGCTCTTTCCCTTGCTCTCTTCTCAGAGCCCTATGAGTTTGTCTCTCTCGAGTGGCTGCAGAAGTGGCTGGATGAGTCGACACCTACCAAGCCTATCGATAACCACGCCTGCCTTTGTTCCCATGACAAGCTGCATCCCGATAAAATATCCATCATGAAGAGGATATCCGAATATGCAGCTGATGTTTTCTACAGTAGATACGGAGGAGGACCGAGGCTCACTGGTAATTTCCGATGTCTTCTCTGCTTAAAAAAGAGTGATGCTGTAGGTCCTCGTCATGTGGTCTCCATGGTCATTGGATCCAAACTAAGCCAGACTAAAGGTTCCTTCAACTGCAAGAAGGATTTGCTAAAGAAAGCAAAAGTAGCATTATACATGGTATATTTATGGTGTTAGGAAAGAAACTGGTACTGCTCAATGGGCTTTTATCTTTTTCAAAGCAGACGGGAATAGGATACTTTTGAGAAAATCATCTGGTAGGATTTTGTTGCTTTATGCTTGAGCCCTGGCTGGGTAGGTCATTTGGAGCATCACCTGATGCACCAGGAGTGCAGGTCAGAGCACATACAAGAATCAACCGGTGAATGCATGTAATAAATGGGAAAACAAATTGATGCTTTCTGTTTCTAAAAAAAATAGTGTGTATATATATATATATTTTTTTTTAATTGATTTTTTTACAGAGTGGGAGAGAGAAGGATAGAGAGCTAGAAACGTCTATGAGAAAGGAACATGGACCAGCTGCTTCCTGCACACCCCCTACTGGGGATGTGCCCGCAACCAATGTACATGCCCTTGATTGGAATCGAACCTGGGACCTCTCAGTCCGCAGGCCGACGCTCTATCCACTGAGCCAAACCGGTTTCGGCAAATATATATATATATATATATATATTTGTTTTTTAAATCAAAGTACTCGAAGCCTGGTCTAGTTGATTATAGATCTTACGCATCCCTGCTATAGTGACTTATAACAGTATGTGATGTGCACATTGTTACTTAGCTTATGAATGGAATCTGTGTGATTCTACTCTAATAAACGAAACTACTACCCCTTCCCGCCCGCCCCCTAAAATCAGCTATTTTCTGATCATGTACCACTTCTGCATAAAAACTGGCACTTAACTATATGCTCTAGGGCTTGTGCACATCTGGAGTTTTCTGTTTTTTGATTCACAATCAATAAATAGCAATGGGATGATCTTCCAAAAAGTAAAATTTCTGTGATTCCTGGCACTGTGCTTTAAAGCAGGCCTTGCTTTTTGTTTTCCCTTTCCTGTTCTGGGCTTTGAAGTGTTCCCATGAATCTCTTAAAAACGATTAACATTACATTTATGATTGTCAGATGCACTGACTCCCCACTGCACCATTATTTGATTGGTGTCTTGTGAAATTGGCATCCAAAATTGCATTTCATGGTACAGATAGTTTTTACATATAGCATTTTACCTCTTATAACTGTTATTATATTGATATTAACATTACAAAATAACTTAGGATATATATACGATATCAATTTAAAAAATATTTTTATTGATTTCAGAGAAGAAGGGAGAGGAAGAAAGATAGGGGGGGAAAAGGTAGAATATTTCACTAACGTTAAAAATACTGATTTTATAAATAGATATAAACATTTTAGGTAGAGTGAATTAAATTCATTGTATTAAAAATTGAAATCACCTACCTTCTAAACCTGTACCTTCTGCTGTAGTTTTTTTTTTTTTTTTTTTTTTTTAATGTTTAGAAACCACTGTCTTTTTAAAAAATATATCTTTATTGATTTTAGAGAAGAAGGGAGAGGGGGAGAGAAGCATCAGTGATGAAAGAGAATCATTGATTGGCTGCCTCCTGCAACCTCCCCACTGGGGATTGAATCCGGGATCCTTGAGTCCATAGGCTGTCGCTCTATCCGAGCGAAACCAGCGAGGGTGATACATATCAATTTGCTGTGTTGTCAGAATTTGTGACCTTGGTTTAGAATTCTTTTGTGTTTCCTGAAATGGTGAAACCTTTTCTTAACAGGAAATCTGTATGTGAGTAAACTATTTTCTTTCATTCTCTCGCCCTAGTGAAAGCCCTGTGCAAGGAATGTGTAGTAGAACGCTGTCGGATGTTGCGTCTGAAGAACCAACTAAATGAAGATTATAAAACTGTTACTAATCTGCTAAAAACAACAATAAAGGGGTATGTTCCACCGTGTATATTGTTTATGATGCACTAAGAAAAAACAATTAGCAGAACTAACCTGATAGCTGATTATTTTTAGATAAGAGGGAATTGGATTTTTTTTTTTTTTTTAAAGAAGTGTGAGGATATGCATGGCAGAGCCACATTAAGTTTTGCTGTGACTGCCAGAGTGGTAAAGACACAGAAAGCTGGGTCAGTATCCCATCAGCCTTTGTGACAGTATCCCATCATTAAAAAGACAGAAGCAGAGATGTGGACTTGAGGCCAGGTCAGAACAAGGCAGGGGTGCATGCCTGTGTTTAGGCATGGAATTATGGAAAGCCGTGGTGGAACTTCATCCTGCCTGGTCTGGTGGTGTCCGCCTTAGATCTACAGAATGAAGTATGTGTGTTAACAAATGGTACCCAGCAGACATCCTTGTGAGAAACATGCAGCCCAGTCAATCCAATTGAGAAAGAAAGAAAGGAAAGGAAAGGAACATCCAGGGTCCTTTAGAGCAGTGGTCGCCAACTGGTGGTCCGTGAGCCTGGAAGTTTGGCCACCATGTTTTAGAGTATGCTGAGCGGGGCACCTCCCTCTTCCCCCCAACACACACACACACACACAACACACACACTCCCTATAGTACCTGTGGATTCAGATAGAATAGAGTCAGATGGCATTTATTATGTCTGGATTTTTTTTTTTAAGTTGTCTATTGCCCAAACAAAGATAAATCTAGTTGACCGTTTTTAGTCATTCCACAAACAGCCTAAATGTGTGTTTATGTGTAGACATGGATGTATATATGTGAGTGCGTCTGTATATACTTAGAGACACAGCTGTATGTGATTGTGAATAGTAATCAAGTGAAAGAAAGCAGCCAGTTGATTGATGTGACCGGAATAAATGTAAATGAGGATTAGGAGAAGCAGGGTAAAGTTTAGGATGGAAAACAGTACCTGCAGTTCAGTAATAAAGGAGTAAAAATGGCCTAGATGAGGAAGTGGGTTAGAGAAATTGTGTACATAACAGCAGACTTTGAATATTGGAGATTCCTTTTAGTTGTGGCCTTTAGAAGGAAGAAAAGGGAGGGGAGGGTGTGTGGAAACGTGACATGCATGATTTCACTTTCTCTCTGTTCCCAGCAGCGATGGCTTTTGGGTGGGAAAATCGTCCCTGCGCAGCTGGCGCCAGCTGGCTCTTGAGCAGCTCGATGAGCAAGATGGTGACGCAGACCAAAGCAACGGAAAAATGAACGGCAACACCTTGAATAAAGGTACCTTCTAGAACCTGTGTCTGTGGCCGTGAATTCTGCCACAAAATTGTAAACATTTGTTTTTAGTAAAATTGGTTTGATTCCAATCCCTGTAATTTTAAGGAACATTTTTATTAAACCTACAGCTCTAAAAAAAAATGCCTCATAGCAAATGAAAAGTGTTTAAGCTAATGACATCGAGCAAGGGTCAAAGGTCCAGCAGCTCAGAAAGGGGAGGCTGCTGCAAGCTGCAGAATGTGCTGTAAGGCCAGGATGTTTTGGTTGTGGATTATTAGCTACACTGACAGGCTGCCTTCCTCAAGTAGAGGAGCTTGAGCTTCGGATGAGCAGGCAGCTTTTGGATAGGTTTTTTTTTTAACAGAGAGGAAGGGAGAGGGATAGAAAGTTAAAAACATCGATCAGCTGCCTCCTGCACACCCCCTACTGGGTATGTGCCTGCAACCAAGGACCCTTATCCACTGAGCAAAACCGGTTAGGACTGAGTTTTTTTTGTTGTTTTTGTTTTAAAGCTATGCTTTCAAATAGGAAATTATGTTAGTCTCAGCAAACCACTAAACTTAATTTTATAACCAATATTTTATAAGATATCAGGGAAGATTAAGGCATAGGAACTATTTTTAGATTAAAAATGGAAACTAAGAGGTTTGATCAGTTTACTAATTCAGAGGTAAATTAGTGATCCATAAGAAATTCATTTAATTTTTCTCATCTTCAAATATTATTTACATGTATTTTTACCATTTTAATATTCTTAACCATTTTACTGAAATACTTTCATTTTCTGCATTCAACCATATATCATTCCATTTTGCTTGGTGTGGCCTTGGTGTCAATACCCCTTTGAGAAAATAAAAACACCAAAGCCATTATTAGTTTTAAACTATGATTTTTAACACTTAAATTTGAAGTTCAAATGAATTTGTAGAAATTCCTGGACCAGAGAATTATCTCCATATATAATTGCTATAAACTGATACACGGTAAATTTCCTCCAGAAGTTAATTCATCATGCTTTTATCAATTTAAAGAGTACATCAGTCACATCCATTTTTTTCCCCAGACTGATGAAGATGAAAAATGACTTAGCAGTGTCAAGGCTTATATCTTTCAAAACCATCACTGAGGTCGGCCCTCCTCATATATTTGAGTTGTTATTTGTGCATATATGACAGATGCCAGAGTTACCTGATTATGTCCTTCCTTTGCTCATTTCTTTATACTTGAACTTCTTAACATTTTACAAATTATTCTTTTATTAATTTTTAAAATGTATTGTGTTCTTAACTTGGAATACCCATAGATATCATAACTATTCTGATCTCCTGATACTTAATACTTCTCTTATTTGATCATGTTCCTGGTATATAAAACTAAAAATTGATGTTGATACAGTGTGGGCAAGTAAGAAAAGTAGATACTGGGAGAGAAATGTTAACAGGAAAAGCAAAGTTCTTTTTATATGTATTTGACATTAAAGGTTAGGTTTTTATTTCATTGGCCTCTAAAACTTTCTGTTCAACCCTTAAAATAAGAGAACGACATGACATGTAGATTATTAACTTGGTTATGATACCATTTTGAACACCTTGACTAGAATTAATGGAAGGATATGTAAATTGTTTTTAAATTTTTGGGGGAAAAGCTACATTTTCTTGCATAATCTTAATTCTTTAAAAAGTTAAACTGCAATTCAGATAGTCCTCTTTCCTTTTCAAGGAAAGAAATATAACACTTAGCAGAACTGTGTAGGAATTGCTTGGGTCAAATTTTAAGAATGTTTTAACGTTTTCTTTGTTCAAAATTGTGCAAGTATTATCTCTGCTACTTTGACCTTTAAATACAACAGCCAGAGCAAGTTACTCTCTGTGTTTCCTTTGATTAGACGAATCAAAGGAAGAAAGAAAAGAAGAGGAGGAGGAATTAAATTTTAATGAAGACATTCTGTGTCCACATGGTAAGCTAGAAGCATAAATCATCCGTTGTCAGATTTGAGCACATTGTAAATATTTTGTTAACTGTTTTGTACTTTCTCTTAGGAGTTAGGCCATAATACAGCAGCCATGGTTTTTCTAAACTGTATTTGATTCTGATGTTTCTATTCTCATATCCTTCTTAACTGTTAGATTCTACTGCCTGATTTCGGGCCAATGCCTCACACACCTTTTCTTCACTCCTTGCAATATATGTGTATATACACAAAATAGGATTTTTCCTATATTTAGTGGAGAGGGAACTTTTTGGTCACTTGTCTCCTTGAAGGGCTATCTGAGTGGAAAGGAAGACTTCTAGTTGTTTCCCACGGCTGTCTTTGTCCAGTTTGAACACTTTGAGAACAGTGTTCATCTATTTCTTACTAGAGGCCTGGTGCACGAAATTGGTACGGGGGGGGGGGGGGGGCGGGGGGGCGTGGCTCATCCCAGTATGCGCCCTCTCTCACTCCTTACGCCTGCCTGCTTGTTGCTCCCTGCTCACTGTTCCTTAGTGTTGCTGTGGAGGTGGGAGAGGTTCCTATCACCTCCACTGTGCTCGCCAACCATGAGCCTGCTTCTGAGTGGTGCTCCCTCTATGGGAGCACATTGACCACTAGGGGGCAGCTCCAGTGTTGAGCTTCTGCACCCTGGTGGTCAGTGCACATCGATTTGCATATTTGGATTTTAATATATAGGGTTATTATTATTATTATGGGTATTTTTTGGTTTAGTTTCTTAGACATTCCTATTTATTTGTTTATGTATTTCTTATTTGATCCTAGTTAGAGCTCACTACTAGTAAGTAATTTTTTGCAAGGGATCCTTTATATATGAGACATGATTATCTATTCTGTTAGCACTCTGAAAGTCAAGCAGGACTTTGCTTCTCAAAGCCTTCTACTATGTAAGGACCCCTCGCCCCTATTAAAAACTTGATTTCTTCTTCTAATCCATGTCAGGGCATGTGTGTTTCTTGTTGTATGCTAATGTTGCCCAATCTCAGAATGCTTGTTGGTCCTAATAAATTCCTAATTTTGGGTCTCACTTCATTGGCTCATCATGAACCAATACGTAATATCTCACCCTCGTGCACTCTAGCCTTTTTATATCAAGGGTCCTTGATGAGTGGTGACAATTCTCCCCTGAATGATCCTTGCAGGCTGGTCTTTCTGGATATTGTCTCCCTGCACTTTAGCTTAGTAGCTAAGTGGCATTCTTATTTACCACACTGCTAGGTGGTGAAGGAAGCCATCCTGGGATTTGGATTTAAGTCTCTGCATCCCAAGACCATCTCTCCTTCCCATCCCATCACCTACAGCCCAGTTTGTCCACCTTATACTTTGAAGTCACAGCAGGAGCACAAAAGTGAGAGAAGAGAAGTAGCTTCCTGGGTGGTAGACAGGTTGAATAAATAAATAGGGGGAGGTGGAGTAAATGGCCAAAAGTAGATGAGTTTTTCTTGAAATGCTTTCTGTCATCTCTTATTTTACCTTCACAGCATGATGTGGACCTAGGATGAATGCCTTCCTTTTTTGAGAGCTGAGGAATGCGTGATCTGTGATCTGTCCTACTGTTGAAACAGTGCCAGAACTCAGATTGTCAACTCATTCCTTCGCCTACTGACTTTTGCTCTGTCTTCCCACCTCCTGTCTCATCTTGTCATTTCAGTATTACAGTTTTGATTAGAAAGCCTGGCAGAGCTGAATGTGATTTCAGGACATGTGCTGCACTCCTCAGCAGAAATTGTACTTGAGCTGCTTTTTAGTTCCTTAGCTTGATCTGGTACTTGTTAGCCTTTTCTTGCTAAAGGATAGTTTTCAACTACTGTTTTTGTGGACATCACTTGTCCATGTACTGTGTCTCTGAGATCAGATGAACTTCACTCATTAGGTTTATATTAAAACTAGTGACCCGGTGCATGGATTCGTGCACATTGAAAGGAAGTTAATTAGAAGGTGGCCGGTGGGGTGGGACTGAGCAAGGTGGGTCGTACAGGCCCTGGAGCCAACCTCCTGTGATCCCCCACCCTGGCATCTGTGGAGTGAGTGGGTTCCTCCGGCAGGAAGGGTCCCTTGGCTTGGTCTACAGGGATCAGATCAAAACTTGCTGTCCGTGCCCTGAGAATTCCCGGAGTGCAAGAAGGCATTCTGCAAAGTTGCTGTTGTGGAACAGAAACACAGGTGTGCAGTAAACCAGATTCGGGCTTATAGTGCCGCAGCAACAACATAACCCTTGGCCAGAGGTGGAATTTTGCAGCCCTGTGAGACCTCCCAGCTCTCTGTTTCTTCCGAGAACTGCCTCTGCCAAGTCACTGCAGCTTGGCAGCTCCTGCCTTGAGCATCTGCCCCTGTTGATCAGTGCACGTCACAGCAACCGGTCGGACAGTCAGACACTTCGTGTATTAGCCTTTTATATACATAGATTTGTTCCTAGAATGTGATGGTGGTGGTAATGGTGGTAGTGATGGTAGTACTGAATACAAGTACTAGTGAGATGATGATAGTAGTCATCTTCTGAATGTTTATACCCATGCTGGTAGTTTTCTAAGTGTATAGATATTAACTCGTCTATAAAACAGTGCCGAGAGTTCAGTATTACTGTCGTATCAGTTGTACTGATGAGTAAATAAGCGGAGGCATAGAGATTTAAGAGTCATTTGCTCAAGATCACCACATTTAATGGATAGTTTTACCTACAAGCATAATTTTCTCAAATTACTTCAGAAATTTAAAGGACTTGCGCTATCTTTCATTGTGCCATTTGTCCATTATGCGTAATTGATTCTTTTCATTCCCTTTTGGCAGCTTGTATTTTTATTCCCAGTGTTCACTGGCACCCGGTGCAGGCCCTCCCTCCTTTCCTCCCTCCCTCATGTGTGAGGTGCTTGTGGAGGCCGGGCGCACCCAGGAGGGCCTCGCTGGGGAATTCCGGATGTCAGTATCTGTTCTTGGGCTGCTCAGATTTCTCCGTAGGCATCCATTCTCCTGCCTGGAAGTGCAGCCATGGCTGTGCCTGTTCTGGGGTAGAGAGTAGAGGGCTTGGGAGGCTGCCTCTGTCAGCTCATTGCCTCACTCCTCTCTGTGCTTTGTGCCCCTGGTGCAGAGGGCTGATTCATATGTCACCAGAGAAGGTATTCCTTGTGGGTAGAGGGGCAGCTATCTGTAGAATCTAGAGGAGGCAGAAAATAGTAACTGCCTTTTCAATAGACTTCTAATCCATTGCGGGTGTTTTGTTTTGTTTTTAGCTCCACCTGTACTTCAGGTGACCACAATTCTAGGCAGTTGTGCAGTGTAATAAATCTTGTTATTTCTTGACTTTTGCCGATTTAAAATTCATTTTTCATGTTTCATCTGTCTGCTTTTTAAAAAAAATATATTTAATATTTTTACAGAGAGGAAGGAGAGAGGGAGAGAGAGCTAGAAACATCGATGGGAGATCGATCAGCTGCCTCCTGCACACCCCCCACCGGGGAAGTGCCCGCAACCAAGGCACATGCCCTTGACCAGAATCAAACCCAGGACCCTTTAGTCCTCAGACCGATGCTCTATCCACTGGGCCAAACCAGTTTCGGCCATCTGTCTGCTTTTAAGCTTCTAAAATTTTTGTTGCTGTTGTTTCCTCTTTGTTCTGTTCATCCATCATTATGATTTTAAATCTCTTTAAAAAAACTCCCTTTACTGTGGTTTGGTGGTGGTTCAAGAGGCAACTGAAAGTAAATGCAGTTTTTTGTTTTTGTTTTTTTAATATATTTTATTGATTTTTTACAGAGAGGAAGGGAGAGAGATAGAGAGCTAGAAGTATTGATGAGAGGGAAACATCCATCAGCTGTCTCCTGCACACCCCCCACTGGGGATGTGCCGGCAACCAAGGTACATGCCCTTAATGCCCTTAACCGGAATCGAACCCAGGACCTTTCAGTCCGCAGACCGACGCTCTACCACTGAGCAAAACTGGTTTCGGCTGAATTTTCTTATTTTTTTTGTAACAGAATTTCCCCCCCCCCCTTTTTTTTTTAAAATATATTTTATTGATTTTGTACAGAGAGGAAGGGGGAGAGAGATAGTGAGTTCGAAACATCGACGAGAGAGAGTCATCGATCAGCTGCCTCTTGCACACCCCCTACTGGAGACATGCCCGCAACCAAGGTACATGCCCTTGACCGGAATCGAACCTGGAATCCTTCAGTCCCCAGGCCGATGCTCTATCCATTGAGCCAAACCGGTTTCGGCAGAATTCCCCTTTTTTAAGCAAATTGGGTTATACCAGTCATGTACAGAGGAAGAGTTTTTTTCTTTTTTAAAGAAGGAAGAGGAAAAAAAAAACCCACTTAAAATTATTTTTAATTGCCTTGGAGTGCTTTCTAGAAAATCAGGTCATAGAAATATACCTTTCCTTATTATGGCTGCATTATATTTCACTATAAAGATGTACTATACTAGGCTTGGATAATCAATTAATCTTTTAAAGATATTCCCTAATTGTGTCTTAGGGTATGCATGTTGGAGTAAGTTTTTATAGCCCCAGAGGAAATTTAAGTTAATAGTCTATTCAGAAAGAAAGTTAAATTTTACATTCTGACCCATTTTTCTCTGGCATTAAGTTTATTAAAGCAAAGTGATAATTCCTTGGGATTATTCGAAGGTCTATAAGAGGCGAAGGGTGGCAGTTATGAAGATATATTTATCGGTATTAGAAATTATGGAGTTTGAATGAACATACCTGGGTTCATAGTCCAGCTTCATTATTCGTCAGCTGTGGCATCCCTAGGTATATTAACTTTTCTAATTCTCAGTTTGTTTATTATTATATAAAACACATGAAGCAAAGAAGATACTTATTTTATTTTAGTAAAAACTTTTTTTTTTAAACCAGTGATATTCACTGGTGTGTGTCTCAAGATGTTTTTTTTATATATACTTTTATTTTATTTATTTATTTTTAATCCTCACTCAAGGATATTTGACTTTCAGAGAGAAAAGAAGGGAAAGGGAGAGACAGGGAGAAGCACCAATGTGAGAGACACACACATAGATTGGTTGCCTCCCCCCATGTCCCCTGACCAGGGCTGGGAGCCTGCAGTGAAGGTACGTGCCTTTACTGGAATCAAACCCAGGACCCTTCAGTCCACAGGCCACTGCTCCATCCATTGAGCCAAACTGGCTTATGCAGAATGATCATTGTTTTTAGAACGCTTTATTTTAACAAACATGAAGGTGCCTGGCAAACGGGGATAGAAAAACATATGGCCTTGGGAACTTACAGATGGTTCTCTGGGTAATGACCCATTCAGTACAAAGGGACAGTTCATTAATCCATCAGTTAGGAAAAGCTGAATCAATGAAAACTAGAATCACAGGTGGAGTGGGGCAGAGTTGGGGGAAAGGCAGGGGCTGCTGAGATTGCAGGTTTCTGCCCTTTGGCCGTTCCCACGGCCTTCCGGGAAGAGGAAGGGTGGTGGTGACCAGTCCTGTTTTTTTCTCTGTGGATTTTTAAAGATCCACAGGGATTGGAGTGATGACAGTAGGAGACTAACAGGGTCTTGTCTGGAAACAGTTTATCAGTTGTACAGTCGATAATTATTTAACTCTGAATCCGTAACTTAAGAGCATGGACACCACCTTGAAAATACCACTTTAATTCAGGGCGATTTCAGTGAGGCAGCACGACCAAACAGGAGGAAATGCAGCCTGCAGGAAGCTGTGAGGGAGTGTGGGCGGAGACGAAGTGCTGCTTGGCAGCCCTGCCTCACACAGAGCCCCCAGGATCCCGGGAGCCCCCTCCGGCAGGAAGACAGACAGGAAACGTGCACGGCGCTGGTCTCACGCATCTGTCTTTATTGCCTGGTTTTTCAACCACAGATACAATGAAGGACACAAAGGAACGGCTCCTTTAGAATGAGATAAAATAAAATCAGAGACTTCTGAAACCAAAGAAAGAGAGAATTAAACACTTTGGAAGAGAATATTTTTCTTAGGTTTAAGAAATAGGAAACAACTTCTTTGGAAGCTGTCCATTGATGTTTTTGGTTTAAATGTTAAAAAAAATTTTTTTTTGGTGTGTGTTAGGGGAGTTGTGCATCTCTGAAAACGAAAGGCGGCTTGTCTCTCCAGAGGCCTGGAGCAAACTGCAGCAGTACTTCCCTAAGGCGCCCGAGTTCCCCAGTCACAAAGAATGCTGTTCGCAGTGCAAGGTACTGAGCACGAGGCTCCTCCCCGCGCCCGCTTCCTGGCAGGAGCCTGGTTCTGCCCGGGGTGGGGGGAGATAGGTCCCGTGCCGTCAGCAGGAGGTGGTTAATGGCTTCATTCTCTTCCAGATTTTAGAAAGAGAAGGGGAAGAAAACGAAGCCTTACATAAGATGATTGCAAATGAGCAAAAGACTTCGCTCCCGAATCTATTTCAGGACAAAAGCAGACCTTGTCTTAGTAACTGGCCAGAGGTACAAGGGTCCCCGCCAAGGAGAGAATTCGTCCTGTGTTCCAGAGGCTTTTCTGCTGTATCGTTTCCAGACAACCCTGAGCCTCTCTGATTCTCTTTGTCTATGTTTTCTAATCAGGGGGCTCACTCTAACTCGGTTTCTTGGTGACGGGCCGTGTTTCCATTTTATTCATAAAGCTTAGTGCGTGGAAAACCTCTTTCCCCTAAAGGATTCAGGCTAAGAACGCAATGAAGTGATGGCTGCTTTAATGTGCTTTCCTGTTCTAGGATACAGATGTCCTCTACATTGTGTCACAGTTCTTCGTAGAAGAATGGCGGAAATTTGTCAGGTAGAATCCAAAATGTTTCCCTTTCTCTTTTTGGGGGGTTGGTTTTAGTGTTTTAAGAATTCATAGACTCTGGTCATGATGCCTTTTACTTACTTTTTCTAGCATGTGCTTAAAAAGCTTTCGTGTAGGTTAAAGGACTAATCCAGAGAAACACTTACTTACTAATATCTTTTTGAGCATACCCCATTTTTGAGCAGTGGTCCGAGCACGGCCCTGTGTACTCCGCGGCAGCGCGGTGTGTTGATCCTCCTTGTCTCGTTTGAGCAGGAAACCTACGAGGTGCAGCCCCGTGTCGGCGGTGGGAAATAGCGCCCTTCTGTGTCCCCACGGCGGGCTCATGTTCACCTTCGCTTCCGTGACCAAAGAAGATTCTAAACTGTGAGTCTCTTCTCTTCCTGCCATTTGTCTGTTTCTAACGATTAGCAAGTTTTTTTTTGTTTTTTTGTTTTTTTTATCACTTTAGGAATCTAGTCCCTTGCTGAATTGTGGGTTTTCCCCTCTTTCATATACTCACTGTACTAGAAGGAGCACTTTTTTTTTTTTAATTTTAAAATATATTTTATTGATTTTTTTTTTTTTTTTTTTACAGAGAGTAAGGGAGAGGGATAGAGAATTAGAAACATCGATGAGAAACATCCATCAGCTGCCTCCTGCACACCCCCTAGAGGAGATATGCCCACAACCAAAAAGTACATGCCCTTGACCTGGAACCCTTGAGTCCGCAGACCGACGCGCTATCCACTGAGCCAAACTGGTTAGGGCCGAGCATTTAAAGACCTGCTGCTCCATAAAGGGCAAGAGGCCATGGGCACCTTGCTCTTTGTTTCTTATTTCTTCCTTCCTGGAGTCCTGCTTTCTCCTCTCAAGCTGCTGCCAGCACTGTCTCTCGGTGGGCCTCTTCCCTAGGACCACGTAACAGCCAGGGTCTTGGTGGTTTTTATCAGCAGCCACCAGACCTCATTCATAACGTAGAGGATGGGAGGCAGCATGGCAATGAGCTGGAATCTCAGGGTCTGAAAACCCAAATGTTGTTCCGTTCCTTTCATGGTTCCAAAGGGGCTGTCTATGAAATTCACCAATTATCTTACTAGTTTGTCTTTTATTTTTTTTAAAAATATATATAATTTAATGATTTTTTTTACAGAGAGAAAGAGAGGGACAGAGAGCTAGAAACATCAATGAGAGAGAGACATCGATCAGCTGCCTCCTGCACACCCCCTACTGGAGATGTGCCCGCAACCAAGGTACATACCCCTGACTGGAATTGAACCCGGGACCTTTCAGTCCGCAAGCTGACCTTCTATCCACTTAGCCAAACTGGTTTCAGCTACCAGTTTGTCTTTTAAAATGATTTTTAAATAATTATCCTATCTAATAAAAGAGTAATATGCAAATTGACCATCATAAATATGGCTGCCCCCCATGTGGCCAAAGATGTCCACCCTCATGTGGACACAAGATGGCCGGCAGGGGAGGGCAGTTGTGGGTGATCAGGCCAGTAGAGAAGGGCAGTTGGGAGGGTCCAGGCATGCAAGGGAGGGCAGTTGGGGGAGATCAGGCCTGCAGAGAAGGACAGTTGGGGGAGATCAGGCCTGCAGAGAAGGACAGTTGGGGGAGATCAGGCCTGCAGAGAAGGACAGTTGGGGGAGATCAGGCCTGCAGAGAAGGACAGTTGGGGGAGATCAGGCCTGCAGAGGAGAGCACTTGAGGGAGACCAGGCCTGCAGAGGAGAGCACTTGAGGGAGACCAGGCCTGCGGGGGATGGTTGGGCGGAACCAGGATGGTAGGGGAGGGCAGTTGAGGGCAAACAGGCCTGCAGAGGAGGGTAGTTGAGGGGAACCCAGGCCTGCAGAAGAGGGCAATTAGGGGCAATTGGGCTGGCAGGGGAGTGGTTAGGGGGTGATCAGGCTGGCAGACAGAAGCAGTTAGGGGCAATCAATCAAGCAGGCAGGCAGGTGAGTGGTTGGGAGCCAACAGTCCTGGATTGTGAGAGGGATGTCCGACTGCTCATTTAAACGGACACCCTTGAGGGATCCCAGATTGGAAGAGGATATAGACTAGGCTGAGGGACACACACCCTCCATGCATGAATTTTGTGCACTAGGCCTCTAGTATAAGATATGCCTCTGACCTTGCCTGTAAACCATGAAAAGAAAATTGAAAAATTAATATTCCTATGGGACAAAGCTAGAATTTGGAGTTTATTACTCCTATATCAATACTTTTAACATCAGTTCAGGAAGCTTAGAGTATGCATATATTTTCTTCTAGGTTCTCCCCTGTTTGTTGGGGAAATATCTATAATAATTAAAAATAAAAAGTGGGACACCAATTATTTAAAAGTTAAATTCAAATATAGTTGAAGGGCCTTCAGTACTTAACCTTTTATTCATCCTTTTCTCTTTTTATTCCCGACTGTCTCACAGTAACCACTGTCCTGAAATTTTTTTTTTTTTATTGATTAAGGAAATACATATGTCTCTTTATCTCCCCCCCATCTCCACCCGCCCTCACCCCCCTGGTGTCTGTGCATGCATACAAGTCCTTTGGTTGATCTCTCCCTCCTTACCCCCACCCTCTCCTGCCTTCCCTCTGAGGTTTGACAACCTGATTGATGCTTCTCTGTCTCTGGATCTGTTTTTGTTCATCATTTATGTTGCTCATTATATCCCACATGACTGAGATCATGTGATATTTATCTTATTGTGACTGGCTTATTTCACTTAGCATCTTCAGGTCCATCCATGCTTTTGCAAATGGGAGGAGTTCCCTTTTACAACAATGCAGTACTCCATTGTGTAGCATCTGCACTGATTATGAACATACATAATATACATCTGAAAATTAAAAGTGTACCATAGTCGAAACCAGTTTGGCTCAGTGGTGTAGAGCATCGGTCTGCGGACTGAAAGGTCCCGGGTTCGATTCCGGTCAAGGGCATGTACTTTGGTTGCGGGCACATCCCCGGTACGGGGTGTGCAAGAGGCAGCTGATCGATGTTTCTCTCTCATCGACGTTTCTAGCTCTCTATCGCTCTCTCCTTCTCTCTGAAAAAAATCAATAAAATATATTAAAAAAAAAAAAAAAGTTACCATAGTTTTTTTAATCCACTCATCTGCTGATGGACACTTAGGCTGTTTCCAAATCTTAGCTATTGTAAATTGTGCTGCTATGAACATAGGGGTGCATATGTCCTTTTTGATTGGTGTTTCTAGTTTCTTGGGATATATTCCTAGAAGTGGGATCCCTGGGTCAAATTACCCTGAATTTTTGAGAGTTATCCATCTCAGAAAAGATTTGTTTAAACACACACACATGCACGCAGGCAGGCACACACAGTAATGTTTTGCACGGTTAAAATTTTTTCTATCCTTGGCCAGTGTGACTAGAAAGATTGCCAGTTCCATTGCTGATCAGAGCACATACCTAGGCTGTGGTTGTCCCAGTTCGGGGTGCCTAAGGAGGCAATAGATGGATGTTTCTCTTCTCTTATTCTCTCCTACCACCCCCTCTTTTTCTCACCACTTCCCTTCCCTTCTCTCTAAAATCAGTAAAAAATCATATCCAACTATGTTCTTTCTCAATTTAGGTTTCTGAGATTTAACCAAGTTGATTCATGTAATTTTAGTTCATTTTGTTTCTTTGCTTTGGTAGCATTCGTTTGTGTGGAAACAAACATCCAAAGTACTGTCCCTCGTTGCCGATGATGTGTCTTTCCCCTCTGACTCCTCTGCGTTAAAGGCTGGCTGTGATTATCTCACCAGTTCTCTGATTAAGGCATGTTGTGTTTTTTTGCACAGTATAGCTCTCATATGGCCCAGTGAGTGGCAAATGATACAAAAGCTGTTTGTTGTGGATCATGTAATTAAAATCACAAGGACTGAAGTGGAAGACGCAAATCCTTCAGAAACACAGTATATTTCTGAGCCCAGTAAGTTTTCATGCTGCTTTTGGTTTGCGTAGTGAAGAGTTGACATTGTAAAGGAAGTAAGAGCATGCGGGTATTATGTCCTCTCCTTAAAAGTAAAGGTCCCGTGGTAGTCCAAACTAATATTCCCCGGGGGGGCCCATCATACAATGATGTCATGATTTGTTCGTTTATTTATGGATAGTGAGTGGGTTTCTGCATTATTGTTATTTGCATATAACAGTACAACAATTCAACAGTTAATAGAAAATATGAGTAATTGTTTAATGGATACTCACTGGTAACTTTGATACATGTTTTTAATTATTTGGGTCTTCGATAGTAATTTCTCAGCCACTTCTCTTTCACTTTTCTTTAGAGCTCTGCCCGGAATGCAGAGAGGGCTTACTGTGCCAACAGCAGAGGGACCTGCGTGAATACACTCAAGCCACCATCTATGTCCATAAAGTCGTGGATAATAAAAAGGTACCAGTCCCTCTTGTGGCCCTGGTTGGTAATGGTCAAGCTTTTTTTCCTTTTTTCTCTTTTTTTCCCCCCCTTTTTTCCTTTTTCTTTTTACTTGCTCTTGGGAGTTTCACTGAGGATTGCAAAGGGTCACATTTTTGTTTCCATGGAGCTTTTTGGTATAAGAATTAAAATTAGACAGGAATTGAATATGAATAGTTATGTGGTTGCTTGAGGAGTTGGTGGAATGAATATTCGACACACAAATACTTATTGAATGTCACCTGTGTGTGTGGAATGGCTGCACTGCTGGGGGTCCAGTGGGGAAGAAGATGGACAGGACCTGGCCCTCACGACCATTTGTGCCTCCTGAGGAAGATAAGGAGCATCGAAACTCCTGCTATCTGATCCACTTGAGCTTTGAAAAAGCCCGACAGTCAGTGTGCTGGGAGAAATGGAGAGCATTTTTGAACTGCTGCAAGATAACGTCATTATGAAAGCCAACAGTGAATGTTCTGTAGAGATCACTTTACATTTATGGTGAATGCATTAAGTGCAAGAATAAGCCACAGGATAAAAACCTAACATGTTACAAGAGGATACAGAGCCCCTGAATCTTGAACCCCTGGTGTGTGTGTGTGATTCCCAACGGTGATAAAGGTGTTCCTCCTCTTGGTAATGGGGGGCAATCAAAGCCTGTAGCTCATCTTCTTAGGTCTGACCTACGTCTGTTCTGCTTTCCTCACACATTCAGGTGATGAAGGATTCCGCTCCGGAGCTGAATGTGAGCAGTTCCGAAACAGAGGAGGATAAGGAAGAAGCTAAGCCAGACGGAGAAAAGGACCCAGATTTTAATCAGGTACTTGTTGAAGCCGCTTTTCATTGTCATACCTTCGGCTGTGCTGGCAGGGAGGGCAGCCTCTCCGTGCCCCAGACGTCTCTCCGTACCCGTGGGTCCTCAACACCCTTTGTTTCCTTCGTGTTTGGTGGCATGCAGTAGCCGTCCTGATTTCCCATGAGAAGCTGTGGACAGCATTATTACAAGATTACAGTAACAAATTTTTAGCTAGAAAAGAAGACTAAACAAGACCCACATCTTGGTTTGTTGCTGAATTATGGAATCTTCAAGTATGAAAGGCTATCTTAGATTTCCTCATTATAAATAAACAGTGGATTTGATAATGGAGTTTATAGATGAGATATTTGAGTCTGTAAGTAAACAAATGACCATATTAACATTAGTCTTTTCTAGTTCTGTTATGATTTTCTATCTCCTCTCCCTTTTTTTGTCATACCTTTGGCTGTGCTGGCAAGGAGGCCTCCGTCAGCATTGGGGATCATTGACTTCAGTACCAGTTCAGATCTGTACATTTCAAAATATGTCAATGAGAAAGAGAAACATTGGTTAGTTGCCTACTTGACTATATTCTGTATGTCCATTGTATTGGGAAAATAGGCTTAAGAAATTAAGCTAGAGGAAGGAAAACATTATTAAGAAATAACGTAGGAATAAGTTTGGTTGCTGTACAATATAGGTAAGCTTGGTCTTTTCCAAAAGTCAGTCCATTGTATTCCAGGATATTCTATGGATACCTTAATTCATGGAATTTCTACTCTACCTAGAGTTAGTTTTAACAGATGAGAGATTTTTTTTCTGCCAAAATACAGGGTAGTTAAATGATGGCCGTCATTCTCCCTGACAGAGTAAGTGGTCTTGTGATCATCTGCTGTATCTGTGACAGCGGAACTCTGGGCTTGTCCTGTGTGTGCTCACCGATCCTGCTATTTCATTTTTAGCATTGATGGAGAAAGTCAGAAAAGCCCTCTTCGACTTGAATCTTGGTCTCCCCAAGCTACATGTTACTGTGGTTTCCCAGCTGGTAGAGAGATACGTCAGCATTTGCTTTCTGTGCTGTTGCATCTCATAAACGTTAACTGTAAGGCACCTGTGAGAGAACAAAATCATGCCTTCTATGCATCATCCTTCTGACAACGATCAGCCACTCTTGTCCAAGTTGTCCCACCAAATTTGTATTTCAGTCATTCAGCATTGGGAGCCCTCAACTTCAGTGCCAGTTCCGATCTGTACATTTCAAAATATGTTTTCACTGGTTTGAGAGAGAGACATCAGTGAGAAAGAGAAACATTGGTTAGTTGCCTCCTGCCCGCCACACTCCTGACTTGGGATCAAGCTAGCAACCCGGGCTTTGCTCTGACTGGAAATCTATGCATGGGATGATGACCCTCATTCAACAGCCACACTGACCAGAGCTATATGTGTACGTTTTACAGGAATGCAGGCTTACAGCTCTGAGGGGATAATGGCAAATAATCCTCCTATGAATATCCATGTGCAGATATCCCTTCTGTTCCTTGGGATGATTTTTGAGAGATGACAGAGTCAAATAATATGTCTATTGGTAGGAGTTTGCAAACCTTTCTGCCTTTTTAACCTGTTCATTGTCAACTTTTTCATGTTTCAAATTCTTACACAGTTCATCTTCCATGATCTTCACAGATCTACAAACAAGTCTGTTTCCTTTCCTAGTTGATATGCTAAAAGTGTGTGTATGTGCGCGCGCGCGTGCGTGCATGCGCGCCCGCTTACCCACCCTCATTTACAGCTTCATTCTCTTTTTTTATTTGCTTGGCTGGCAACACCATACCGTTTTAATTTTTATCTCTCAGGTGTATGGGACTCTCATCTTCTCTCTATATTGTTTATTATTACCTGTGGTCACCAACTCACTTTCTGTTCCTTCTGGTAAACTTTAAATTAATTTGGAAAACTTGACATGTATGTTCTTTTTTTTTTTTTTTTTTTTTTTAAATATATTTTATTTATTTATTTTTTTTAATCAATCTTTATTGTTCATATTATTACAAAGGTTCCTCATTTCTTCCCCCCTCCACCAGGTTCCCACCCCACCCTCCGCCCCCTCCCCATCCCCCATTGTCCTCATCCATAGGTGCAGTTTATGTTCAGTCTCTTCTTCCCTCAATTTCCCCATTAGTAAATCCCTTTTCAGATAGTAAATCAGTTACTTAGCATTTTCTCAAATCAATAATACCTCCACATGCCCAATGATACACTTCACACAAAAGACATTTCCCAATAGGTCCACCAGCCTCATCCAGGCCCCACCCAAGGCACTCACAGATCAACACCCCAGCCCTATACTGACTCAACACATCCAGATGAGCCTTCATCACTTGATTCAGCAGACCCTCAAGTTCCCACGAAAGTTTCCAGCCATGTCTGAGAAGCAGCCGTGGGGCAGGGGCAGGCAAGGAGCGAGCTGTTCCGGGCCTGGCTGCTCAGGGCCTGCCCTCTGTTGCTCTGGTTCGTTCCACAACCAGCTGCTCCGGGTCTGGTCACTGCCGCTCCCGACCTAGTTGCTCTGGACTTGGCTGCTGCTGCTTCGGGCCTGGCAGCTCCCAGCCTAGCAGCCACTGCTCAGGGCATGGCCGCACCTGACCCGCCTGCTCCCCCGGGCCTGGCCGCTCCCAGCCTGGCAGCCGCTGCCCCGGGCCCAGCCGCTCCGAGCCTGGGCACTCCCAGCCTGGATGCTCTGGGCTTGGCTACTGCTGTTCTGGGTCTGGCTGCTCCCACCCTGGCTGCTCTGGGCCTGGCTTCTCCGGGCCCGGCCACTCCAGGTCTGGTTGTTCCTGGACTGGCCACCCTGGGCTTGGCCGCCTCCGCCTCAGGCCTGGCTGCCACTGCCCCAGGCCTGGCTGCTCCAGTGCTGGCTGTTGATGCTCTTGTTCTGGCTGCTGCTGCTCTGGGGCCTGGCTGCCACTGCCTTGTGCCACTCTAGGCCTGGCTGCCGCGGTTCCAACATTCTGTCCTTTTTTTTTTTCCTTTTTCTTTTTTTTTTAAACGCATTTATGTTGCAATGTTGGCTGTTGAGTTGAGTTCTGACTTAGTCTTTGATTTTTCAAGAACTTCTTTGTATTCTTTCTTAAGTAATTTTACTATCTTTTGCTCTCACTTGATTTCTTCACATTGAGAACTTCTTTGGTTTCTTCCTCCTTGTCCTGGGAACTCAGCAGGTTGGCCTGTGGCACCCCTTTGTTCTCCGCGGGCTCCTGCGCTGCTTCAGCCTGTTGCCGGGGACGGCCCCGCCCAGGAAGCAGCCCCCGGCCTTGGCTCCATTGCCTGAGCTCAGCGGTGGAAGGCTCAGGGGCACCCCCCCCCCCCGCCCCCCCCCCCCCCGCCCCAGGGGCCCCGTCGCAGGGCTCCTTGCTGGTGCCCGGTTGGCCGGCGTCCCGTCCCGGCAGGGGCTCCTGCTCCCCGCCGCGTTCCCCCAGCCCGGAGCTTTTTTTTTCTCCTTCCCGCTAGGGGAGTCCAGCATCAGAGTCAACAGACTGTCCTCTGCGCGCAGTTTGCGCGAGTCCCACAGACTGTCCTCTGCGCGCAGTGTGCGCAGGTCCTGGGGCCCAGCCTTTCGCCGCTCTCCCCGGACTCCACCTCACAGCCCCGTCTCCCTCTGCCTGAGTCTGGGTCCCCAGGGATTGGTCCAGAACTGGGTTTTGGAGCAGTCCGGACTGAGGCTCAGCGCCGCCGGAGGCCTTGTTTCTTCCGGCTAGGGTAGCCCAGCATCAGAGTCAACATTCAGTCCTCTGCGCTCGCATTGCGCGCGACTCCGGGGGCCCTGCTTTTCGCCGCTTTTCTGCCTCACAGCCCCGTCTCCTCCTGCCGGAGCCTGGGTCCCCAGGGTCTGGCCCATAACTGGGGCTCAGCGCTGCCGGTTCGGGGGGCTCAGTGCTGCCGGTTCGGGGGTTCAGCCCAGGCTGGGGGTTTTATTTCCTTCCTGCTAGGGAAGGAAAGGCAGCACCCCGCCCTCTCCTCCTCTCCGGCTGCGACCTCTCTGTGCGCGTGTGCGGGCGGGCGCGCCACATGTCTCCGTACCTTAGGCTTTTTTTCAGCTCCTCTGATTTTCCTTCTGGTTTTCTCTTTCCTTCTTGTTGTAGAATTTTCAGTCAGTCGACTACCTGTAGCTCTGGGCAATGTCCACTCTAGATCTTAGTTGTATTCCATTGAAATTGTTGTGTGCTGCCACGGCTAGATGTCTACCCGAGCAGCCATCTTGGATCCTCCGACATGTATGTTCTTATTGTTCTTAGTTTCTGTTATTTCAAGGTTTGCTTTTCCAACTAAGAAGTATTTAGAAAACTCTTTACATTTTTCAAGTGACGTAGGCTTTTGGGAATCTGACTTTTTTGAATATGTAGTTTTATTCATTATGGTCATAACCACAGCAATTTACAAAAGTGAATGTGGAATTCTTCGTTGTGGATGACAACAGATTTCACATGTACAAATATGATAGAGAACGTTGGGAAACATTGCTTTTTATGCTGTAATTACACTTTATACTTTGTAATTTTCTTCTGTCTTCCTTCTCCTTGTTTGGAAGTTGTAATACTCCAGATGTTTTAAATAGTTTTTGTCCCACAATAAAATCTCAAGTGTAACCTTCCTTCTTTAGAAAAGAGTGGAGTCCCAGAATATCAACGTTTCAGAATGCCAGCCTCCTCAGACCTTTTCTTTGTAACAGAGTTGATCCTTGAGCAACACTAGGTTCGGGCTATCGACCCCGCATAGAGTCAAAATCCACGTATAACTTTTGACTCCCCAGAAACTTTCCTAATAGCCCACTGTTGGCTGGAAGCCTATCGACAGCATAAGCAGTCAGTTAACACATCTTGTATACTATACATAATGTATACTGTGTTCTTAACAATAAATTAAACTAGAGGAAGGAAAACATTATTAAGAAAATCATAAGGAAGAATTCTGGCTTAGTTGGCTGGGCGACATCCTGGGCTCCTCCCATCAGGTTGCATGCTGAGTTCCCGGTAGGGGGCATGCATGAGCTAGCTGCTTGATGTTTTACCCTCGCCTTGCTGTTTATCTCTCCCTCGCCCTTCCTCTCTCTCTAAAAATGAATGGAAATGTATTTTTTTAAATAAAAGGAAATCATAAGGTAGAGAAAATACAATGATTGTATTTATTGGGAGGAAAAATCCACGTTTAAATGAACCTGCAGAGTTCAAACCTGTGTTGTTCAGTGTCAGCTGTACATTACAGTATCTCGGTTCATAGATAGCTTTTACAATTGCTGTTGTAAATCCCCATAATAGCAAATGATTTCTACTTGTCCTTAATGGAGATGAACAAATCTCTCTTTCCTCTTTTCTCTTAAGCTAGATCAACCTAGTTCGACTCTGACCTTATCTACAATTTAGGTTAATAATGAACCCAGTATTGGTTATCACTTAGGTAACTAAAAGCCATCTAAAACCATCGGGCTGCTTTTTGTCAGATAAGTTGGATTTAAATTCTATGGCTTTTTGTTTGTTTGCTTTTAAAGTAATTCTGGGAAAAGCTTTTAGACCCATTTAAAACCAGTCATTAAAAAATGTTTCATGCTTAATGCTCTGGGCTTTGTTATTTGGTTGTTTTTATATTTCTAAAGTAAAATTTTACATCGCTGTAGATACTTTTCCTAATCGTGGAATTAAGGTCCAGTTTTACTTTTCCTTTCAATTATCGGTCGAGATTAAAGAGAATGTTTCACCAGCTTTGACTATTTATGAACTCCCACGTTTACTTAACCTTTCCTTACGACTGTCAGAGTCATTGAACCTATCCTGGTGCAGTTCCTAGCCGTGGGCATCACCCTAAACAAACGCTCTTCTGTGTTTGCATCCTGAGCCTCTTCCGCTTGTAAATCTCTGGGGCTCCCATGGTAATGACTGTAGCATCTGTGTCCATAAATGATCCCTAAACCACTCTGTCGTGCGCAGCTGACACTCCAGTGCCTCGTGGTTACCTCATTCAGATTTCATTAAACCAGGGAAAGGGTTCTTTTTTGTTTGTTTTTTGTTAATCCTCACCCGAGGACATTTTTCCCATTAATTTGTAGAGAGAGTGGAAGGGAGGGAAGGGGAGGAGAGAAAAACATTGATGTGAGAGTGACACACATTGATTGTTTGCCTCCCACCTGTGCCCTGACCAGGGCCAGGAATTGAACCTGTGACTCTTTGTTACGTAAGTTGACACTCTAACCGCTGACTCATACCAGCCAGGGCCTCTGTTAGGCTCTTGATGAGTCTTGTAGAATGACATTTGATCCTTACCTATTATTTTTTTCCTTAAGACTAGTATAAGATGTATTACGTGCTCATGTGAATTCCTTTATTTTGTTTCTGAACTGCTCTTAAGTTCATTATGACATTTCACGTCTAAATACTTAAACCTACAAGGAAGTGTTTAAAGTTCTCAGTAGTTTATATTTAATTCCCATGACTTTCTCAAGAACAGAAGAAAATATTTAGTACAAATAAGTTAGGATGATGAATTCAATTAATAGTCTTAGCCTTGGCCGGGTGGCTCAGTCATTCAGAGAGTCATCCTGTACACCAAAAGGTTGTGAGTTCAGTTCCAAGCCAGGGCACATACCTAGTTGTGTGTTCTATCCCTGTTGGTAGGGCGCATATAAGAAGCATCCGATCAGTGTTTCCTCTCTATGTCTATTTATTTATTTATTTATTTATTCATTCATTCATTTACTTATTTTTATTAAGGTATTATATGTGTACCTATCTTTCCATTGTGCGCCGCCCCTCCCCCCCCCCCCCCCCCCCCCCCCCCGCCCATACATGCTCTATGTCTCTTTAAAATCAACATATTCTCCAATGAGGATTTAAAAAAATTTTTTTAAGAGTTTTCCAGCATATCACATGTATTCTGATTTAAGGTCAGACATATCATTTTGCTTTTAAATGTCCTCTTAATAAAGTCTTCTTAAAACAACTGTGGATATCTCATTTCATTCTTTAGTCAGTTTTATGAGCCTGCTTAAGAGTTTCTACGTATTTTTTAAAGTAATATAGGAAGAAAAGATTATTTAAAAAACAACAATAATTTATTGTTGAAAGTATTACATATGTCATCTCTCCCCTGCCCCAGGCCTTCACCCCCCTACTCTCTGTGTCCATGGGTTATGCATGTGTGCATACAAGTTTTTTGGTTGATTACCTTGACTTATTTCTGACATTGAACTTCAGTGTTTAGGGAACCCATAAGTGGAGCACGAGTAATACTGTGGATCATTTCATTGCTTTCTTTGTTTTGAATCTTTATTATAGAGCAACGGAGGAACAAAAAGGCAAAAGATATCGCATCAAAATTACATTGCCTTTCAAAAGCAAGTTATTCGACGGAGTATGCGACATAGGAAAGTTCGTGGCGAGAAAGCACTTCTTGTTTCTGCTAATCAGACATTGAAAGAATTGAAAATTCAGGTGAGAACAGCTAACATTGAGCATGTTATAGATGCAAAGGACCTTCATAAATCCTGCTTTCCACCCATGTTTATATGTGTAATGGGTTTTTCTAGGTTGATCTCTAGTCATGTATTAAGCCACTGAGAGGGTTTTATTGGTTTCAGAGTAATGCCTGCCGGGCCCCAACATTAAAATACTCTTTCTTTAAAATGGCCACAATTCTCTAGAACAGACAAGAAGCTTTCTATGAAGATGAAAGTGTTTTTGGTTTCTGGAATTTGAGCTTTCCAATGAGAAAATTGCGTGTCAGTTTGTTACCATGTTGGGGTTGTTCTAGAATAATTGGTCTCTCCCTTGATTCTGCTGTTTGCTGTTCTTTGACCACTTAATGGGCATTTGAGCCGATTATTACCAGGATCTGTCAAATTTAAGGAGATGTAAAAGGCAGCTGCTTAATTGTTTATTGGATGAGTCAGAAATTATTTTTTAATTAAATCATTATTTTTGTACATATACCAATGCCCCCCCCTCCCATACCAGAAATTATTTTTATCATAATATTTTTTATGTCAGATAAGTCTGTTGGGCAGAATTTTAAAATTACCTTCACCTCCCTTCTCAGACTGGTGTTTTCATATTTTTTCTTAAAGGTTCGTTTTAGATCATTTTCTCTCTATCTCCCTAAAAGCATGCATTGCTTTACAGATCAATTTAACGAATGCAATGTGGGCATTGTGAAAAGGCTTCACGGCCATGTTATTTCTCGGTGCTTGTGCTGAAACACTGTAAATGAGCATGCCGATGGTATATCTCAAAACACAGGCAGAGGGGGCTGATAAGTTCAAGATGTCCAGGAAAAAAGTCTGGCCCCTGATCTGCTTCAGTCCCTGCTATATGTCCAAAAGGCTGACCAAACTCCCCTCTCTGCTACTTTCATGTGGCATAGATCAATGGTTACGCATTCTTCTTGTTGCTGATATTTATCATCGTAATTGAGGCAAAAGTACAGGCTTCCTTTGAGGGTGTTATGTGTTCCAGATTGTCCGGGGAACAGTATTTCCCTCGGTTGAACCCAGGGCTCTGAAAATAAACGTGTTGGCACAATCTCTCCCCTCTGTTTATTGTACCTTTTCCATCCGAGAAAGCTTGCTTCTGTCACCGGCTTTCTCCCTGTCAGTGGTAAACCTCGAACATTCAAACCCTTTCCCAGCACACAAAGAGCCCCTGTGGTGGCGGCCTTTGAAAAGCCTGTGCTGCTGCTATTGTGGGCTGCCATTTTTGAAGAATAAGTCAGAAGAGTCAGCAGAAATCACCTCCATCTCGGAGCATGTAACCTGCACCGATGGGTTGTTAGGAGGCAGCAGCTGCTCAGAGGTTCCTTTACAGGGTCCTTCCCCTCATCTCCCACCTGCTCGAGCACTGCTGTGACCCAAGCAGGGCCCAGACAAAGGGCGACGAAATGTCATCTCTTCCCGCTGCTCAGTGTGGCAGCTTTGAAAACTGCAGCTGGATGCGACCCCCTTACCTCAGCAGCCTGGACAGCTTCGGCGTTTGTGGTGGGTGGTTTTTTGAACAGCATGTTTTGTGTGTGTGTGTTTGATGGAGCCTTTCCTCCAGGAAATACTACAATTCCAAGTTAATAGGACGGCAAGCTTTGAAAAACTGTCAGTGGCTTAGCCCAGACATACCCATTTGCAGCTCTCTAAAACCTGAAGAAACTTGCTTGGCCAAATTACTAATTCATCCACCTATGATGCCATAAAGTAAATGAAGTATAATTTATTCATCTCCTTTCTCAAAGGATGCACAGTATTTTATTGTGTTATTTCATTTTTCCAAAAATAGGTTTTGAGTGGGTGGTATTGCCTGCCTTAGAAAGGAGGAAATGTTGGCACAGGTTAAATGGCTGGCAGTGGAAGCCATTGCTTGTACATTTCCTTATTTCTCTCTCTCTCTCTCTCTCTCTCACACGCACACACACAAACACACCAACACACCAACAAGCACTCACTGTTAGGAAAACATTGTTCCCTATTTCTCTATAGATCAGGAAAGCTGTATCTACTTTTTAAAGAGGCTTATAGTAGTTCTACTCAAGCATTCTCCTAGTACTTATGGTTTATGAGTTATTATACCAAAGACCTCCATGTCTTTAATTAGCCTGTTCCCTTATTCTAAAATCATTTTCTCCTCATTAGTACACACTTGTTCATTTGTCACTGAACCCCTTCTACACAACCTTCCTTGGCCTCCGGCTGCAGAGCTGGCTGTTCTCTCCCCCCCATTTTCCCCCTGGATCTTACAGGTACCTCCCGCTGCCGCCTTCACATTGTGCTGTTCTCCCTCACATTGTGAACTCCATCACGGCGTCAGTCACTTTGATCTTTCTTGCACTTAGCACAGTATCTGTCAGGTAGCTTCTTAGTAAATGTTTCATTAGTTCTTGAGTGAATTTTAATGTCCTTGTCTGTGTGCTCAAAATAATAAAGTCTGAGCATCAGCCCCTCATCCATCGTACTTGTGTCTCATGTTCCATAGTATTTGTTAGTACATAGCGTGGTGCAAAGACAATGAGCATTCAGGGATCTGAACCAGCATTCCTCCAGCCAAGCAGCTGCGACCTTTCCCACACTCATTGTCTCAGATGCCTCCATGTGACTACCTTCTTCACAGGTCTCCCAGGGCCTGTGTGCTCGGCTGGCTTTGGGAGAACTGTCCTGGATTCTTCCTTCCCAGGAACAGGCAGTTGTTGGATGATGTTCGTGCACTGTAGCCTCCCATCCCTGTTTGATCAATCCCCGCTAGTTTCTCGGGGGCTGATGTCCTTTTGAGAAGTCCCGTTGAGATTCTTATTTGTGTGCCGTTAATCAAACCACTTTTCTGGCCCCAGCTGTCCCAGCATGGGAATCTCCTGCCCCTGTTATACACAGTTGGTTCAGGCTGCTTTGCTAGGCTCGTTTTGTCTTCACAGCTTCAAAGGATAGAGGAAGAGAGTACATGGAAAGGTAGGATTGTTTTCCTCTAACGTGGGAATCGGAGTCATGAAAAATACACGTAATAGAACGCACTCCATGAGGATGTAACTAAGTTATGAAGCACGATACAGTGCACACCAGATGTAATAAAAATGAAAACTTTTTTTTCTGAGTTTGAAAATGTGTAAGTGTTATACCTAGTAGTCTTTCTGAATGTATTTAATTTAACACTAGACTAGAACTAGGGTCCTTCACCCTTAAGGAATTCCAATTTTGGTTCCTAGACGAAGGACTCAGTCTAAGATTATGTGTTCCATGGACTGGACTGTGTAGTCCAGGCTGCTTGCTAAGGGAATCAAAGCAGAAGGAAGAAGAGTCCAAATCACCTGGGGGCTGTTTTAAAGACTTGATTACAAGGCCGTGGGGCTTGGGCTGAGTGACAGTAGTGGCCCTGTCCAAGCCTCATGACCAGAGGAGCCGTCAGCGCAGCCCCTTCTGCTCCTTTCACTCCCCATCCCCACCCTCGGAGAGGTGATGGCGCAGGACTAGAGGATCTGTGGGTGTGACTGTTCCTCTTCCAGCCTTCCTAGGGCAGGTCCCAGATGTGGTGGGATTATAGCCTCCGTCGGTAGGTAGCAGGTGAGCTGGCTGCACACAGTAATGTCTTTTGTACTCGAGTTCTTTTATCTTTTAAGGAATCTAATTACCCAAATAAGATATAATTCTCCGCATTTTACTTTATATCAACTTTCTTTTCTTTTTCTTTTCTCAGATCATGCATGCATTTTCAGTGGCTCCTTTTGACCAGAATCTCTCCATTGATGGAAAGGTTTTAACTGATGACAGCGCCACCCTCGGCACCCTTGGAGTCATTCCAGAGTCTGTCATTTTGTTAAAGGTGAGTGACGGCTTCTTCCCTGAGGAATTCTAGGTTTTTTTCCTTCTCTTTCCTCTGCAAAGTTCTAATGATGCACACCCACGTGTGAACTGCTGCGGTGGAGGTTACAGCTGCTCGGGTCCCCAGCAGGCCGTGGTACCAGGTGATTGCCATGAATTTGTGCTGGCTTCTCGGTTCACCAGCTCTGGCTGAGCTGCAGGGACTTAGAGGAGGTCACGGCATCATTGAAGTTTTCATAATTTTGTTAAAAATAATGGATCTAGATTGCGCCTCCTCCCTAACTTCTGGGTCAGCAGAATCAACGATACTTCCGCTCTGAAAGCATTCGCTCATTTCCTCGTGGCTCAAAAACAGCAGCTTGTCGTGTTCGGAATCACACGGACCCGAGGCTCGGCCTCAACAGTCAAAGCACTTTTGGTTGTCCTCTTCTCCAGCTCATGGACACTGGCTTTAGGTAGAATGGGTGTAGGAGTTGTTTTCAATGGCAGGGCTTCTGAGAAATCGTCCCAGAAAGTGAATCCTTGAACCAGCCTTATTCGCCCAATGGTTCTCGTGTGTAGAGGTACCTACTCATCACATTCATTTGCTGCTGCTGTTTGTATGTGGCCAGAAGCATCCCCACTGTGCTAAAAGTGTTCGTAGGGTGTTTGAACTGTGACATAGGCGCCTCAGTTCTGGGGAGATAAGCCAGGCCCTGACATGATGGAGCAGACCCCTATCTGCCCCACACATACACACACCCTCACCCTGCCACCCACCCCTCCTGCTGATCACGTTCTACTTTCTTGGAAGCGGAGGTTCTGTGGAATTCCTGTGAAAGCCTGCTGACTTGCCGAGTCCTAGGAGGCCTGTCTGAAATCCTAGAAACAGCAGTATTGTTAACGGGCTTGTACTTCCCATGGGCAGTTAGATTCCCCACTGGCCACTGGCCCCTGCCCCTCCAGCTAATCCCACCAGAAGCTCGGGCTCTGTGTTGGCTTCTGCCCTAACAAGGACCAGGGTATTTTGTTCTTGTTGGTGAGGCAGGACAAAAATGTATTTTTAACCTAGTTAGTATTTTTAGAGGACCAGTCTGGCTTTTTATTCCTACCTAACTTGGCCACCACCAGCATGTGAATTCACGTTAATTAAATCAGTTTAGTAACTTTGGTATCTAAACCTCTCTACATCTTAGAGGTGTTTTTAGGAGCTGGAAAACATGCCACATACATGTGCACTTCTGTGGGTGATGAGTTTAGACCCATTACAAGACAGGTCACCCATCCATTAATGCTCAATCTCGCCGGCTGCGGCTCAAACCCAGTTCTGTACTGGACAGATCTGTGTCCTGTGGCCACATAGTCCGCTCCTGGGCCAGACTTCCTCCTGGCTGCCTCTCCCTTATGTTTTGAATCGTCTTCTTTGTTGTTTAGGCTGATGAACCAATCGCTGATTATGCTGCAATGGATGATGTCATGCAAGGTAAAGACGAATCTACTATAGGAATTTGTTGATTAACTTGTTAGAAGGATGTGGAGTTATAGGTATTTAAGCTTTCATCTATAATACTATTAACCTTAAAAAAGGGTTCCACATGCTGAAAATGGGAAGCAGAGAGAAGAGTAGTAATTATTTAGCTGACCCGGGAAAAAAACAAACAAGAAACGTCAGCCTAGAGATGGAAGAGGTCACCAAGAAGCAAAGCTAATTCAGTCAGGCACACAGGAATGGGAGGCCCAGGCGCCCCTGGAAGTGGGAGTGAGGGGTGAGCCTGAGAACAGGAAACTAAGAAGCAGGAGACACCTCGCTGTCCCCCAGACCCTCCCAGCCCGTTGCTTTCCCTCCATGTCACGCTGCCTCTTCCCCGGCACCTCAGACGGGCAGCTGGAGTGTGTGTCTCAGCTCAGTGAAGAAATTAAACCAGAAGGTGAGCTGAGGCCCGCCCCTTCGGCGCACCCGGCACGGTAGGAGCCACAGGGTGCAGGCTTCAGGAAACTGAGGCTCACGGGTCTTTGAGAGCTTGCCCTTGAGTTGGAGATGGTGTAGAGAAGATGGAACACGTAAATAGTGCAGAGCCACCAACTCAGAAAAACGAAAAAAATCATACCAGACAAGCAGTGCAGCCACAGTACACCGAAGAGTCCAACTGCAGGCAGTGTTAACAAAGTTTAAAAATGCCAGTGATGTGAGCTCCGGAGATCAGCCTAACAACAAAGTATCACAGGAGGATGTGCAGCCAGTCTCTTTCCTTGAGGAATTGTCTAAAATAGTGAAATGGCAACAGAAGCATGTGATTTAGGCGAGAAAGATTGTATACCGTAAGAAATAGCTGCAAGAGTCAGAAGTGTTTCCTTCTGGCGTAGGGGGTGCGGGGTGGAGAGAGGGGAGTCTGGCTCCGAGGTCAGTCCCGGGGTTGTCTCCAGACTTCCCAGGAGCTGCACAGAATGTGAAAACGAAGAATGTCATCTGATTATCATCACCCATAACTTCAAAAGTAGTGATTATGGGTGAAGTAATTAAAAGTTATTTTAAACCTCATCTTTGGGCATTGACACGATCTTGTTCCTTACTATCTGTCACGACAGTCTTTCTAATTTGGATTTTTCCCTCCCCCCCCAGTGTGTATGCCAGAAGAAGGGTTTAAAGGTAAGTTACATTTGTCATGTTCTATTCGTGAATGTCAGAGTCATACTGTAATTTTCTATTAAAGTGAAGGCTATAATTTGATTTTAAAATTTAATTCAATCTGAGTCTCATGACTGAAATTAATTTTAGTTAAATGCATTTTTTATTCGAGCTTCTTCGTTACCTTTTTCAGCACTCGGCCTCAGATGGGGCCTGTGTGGTCACAGTATCTGCTAGCACATGTCCATTCTGCTTTCTCTTTGTCTGACGGGGGAGTAGGGTGGGGTGGGGGAATTAGCTAGTGGCATTTCGAGGTTTATATTTAACCTGTTTCCAGTTCACCCCGTCAGTCGCATCTGCGAGCAAAACAGTTTGTATGCAACCGATAAGAATTAGAGGAGAGGAGAAGAATTTGCTGGCCTACATGAGGTTCAGTGAAAAGGTTTCATTGATCTATTTAGACTTAAGGCATGTCTTGGGTTATTACTTTAGATGGAGACACAGCAGTGCCTTGTTCCACATCTTGGCAGCTACAGTGGTGGACACCAGTATTAGTCACTAATCCACCGAATACAGACCTCTGGCATTTACTGCTCCATTCTCACTGGCTGTGGCCGGCTCGAGAGGTTTAGGCCGGCTGTGATTTTGCCCGGGAGTCGGTTTGAATCGGATGTCAGGGTGCCTTTGCTAAAGGAAATGAGTGACAGAGCCACTGGCCCGTGGAAAGCCTTCCTCCCCGCGCGCCCCTTTGTTGTCTGCGCATCACGACTGCACAGAAACCCTTGATGTCACAGCCAAAGCAGAGAAAACATTTTTATGAAAAATGGCCATCAGATGTGTCAGTCAAATCTCATTAACTGCATGAAGACAACACATGGCTTTGAACAGAAATGGGATTTAGCTGAAAACCTACAGTTGGCTGATTTTTAAAAATATATACATTGAATCCAGAAAGGAAGGAGCAGAAGAGAGAGAAAGAGAGAGACGTCAATGATGAGAGAGCATCATTGATGGGCTGCCTCCTGCCTGCTCCCTACTGGGGATTGAGTCTGCAACCGGGGCATGTGCTTTTGACCAGAATTGAACCGTGGACTCTTCGGTCCGCAGGCCGATGCTCTGTCTACTGAGCCAAACCAGCCAGGGCGTGGCTGGTATTTTTTCCTGCCCTTAAGCACTGAGGGTCCGCCACACTCGTTAAGGTGGATGGTCCCTGGGGGTGGTGTGTTCTGGGCGAAGGTTATGCGTGGACTCTGCGTGTTTGGTTTGTAACCATACTTCCACGTGTTTCTTTCCCCAGGTACTGGTCTCCTTGGACATTAATCTCTCGGACCTTTCCCGACCGCTGAGAAATGACCAGAAGGGAAGAGGAGATTGACATGTTAGGGCATTAACGAAAAGCTGGATTTAAGAATCGAATCATTACGTGACTCTTCCAAAAGGCAGAAAACCATTTCAAAAGTGACCGTCCCAAATGCCTTGTGTCAAATAAAACCGATTGCACTGAAGGGCCTCAGACTTGAAGGAAATGTTTCAGGTTTTCTATTTAAGGGGTGGGGGTGGGGGAAAGGCGAATAAAGATCAAACCAGTTTAGTAGCAGTAACAGGAAATCATGTTTACATATGAGATTTATAGTCACGGGAGGGAGTGAAATTCTGTCCTATTTCCTTGCTCGAGCTTCACGCCAGATGCACTGGTCCATAGGAATTTGTATCACAGTAAACGGGACAGCATTCTGCTCTGAGCTAACCGTAACTCTTTTATATAGAGACGTAATCTGCTTACCAGTACCTGTTTTTGATTCCTATTTTACTTTCAATAAAGCATGGAAGTGAAGAACTTGCCATAATTGTGGGAAAATATCTTCAGACTAGACGCCTCTCCGCGTCGGCTGCAGCATGCCTGCCTCACGCTGCCCGGGGATCTGTCTCTTGGTGTCGGGCACAGGAGGGGGCGCCTGCAGTGACCGAGGGACCCTGCCTCGCTTCTGACTTCAAAGGCTTTTTGCTTTCAAGCCTTCCGGAAAGGACGACGAATGTTAGACCTCGTGGTAGCATCTCCCTCCGGTTCTGCTTACTCAGGAGCAGAAAATCAGACCCGCCTCGCACTTTCGAACAATCCGACCTCCTCGGAAGAGCAGCGTGGACGACACAGGCTTTTGTAAAATGTCTTCCTGTCTCTCAAGTCCACCATCCTTCGCATCTGTCACCTCTCTCTCTCTGAAAACATTCTTCCGGAATGGCCAGAAAGCATCTTTACATCACTTTGTTTGAAAGGGGGGAGAGTGGCCATTTTACCCAATTCAGGATTATTGTCATGAGCGACATGCAACCGAAGCAATATTCGTAAGAACGCTGAAGGACTTTCAAATAGAGTTTACGGTGGGAGTGTGTTTAGCTGTTTCCTTTGTTGAGCATGTATGGACATCTCTGGGGTCTCCCTTGCTAACATTTTCCCTCCTGGTTTGTGCTGGGGTTCCTGCTCCCCCTTTTCTAAACATTGAAACTCAACGGAGGGGGAGACGGGTTTCACTCGGAGGGCTAGGCGCCCTGGTGGCAGCACCCCTCTTTTTATCAGAATAGCCATGGCTTTTGGGCAAAATTATAACTTCCTGTGTATCCCCCCTGTGTTTGCAATGCCTTTGGTCTTTGCCCCCTGTATGGGAGAGAAGCACCAGGAGCCTCAAGCCATCCCAGGAGCCAGTAGTCCCCACCTGCGGTCAGCACAGGGAAGGACTCAGTTAAGGCCACAGAGAGCTGATCATCTTTTTAAAAATATTTTTTTTATTGATTTCAGAGAGGGAAAGAGAAACAAATGATAAGAAATGTGTACGCCCCACACAGAGGATTGAGCTTGCCACCCTGGCATGTGCCTGAACTGGGAATCCCAATCATGACCTGGCTTATAAGTCGATGTTCCACCACCGGCCCACGCCAGCTGGGTCTGATCCTCCTTTTTAGATCTCGCGCCCTTTTATTTTGCTCCGAATGGAGCTGGCGCATAAGAGGAATAATAACATGCCAGGCGACTTATTCTTTCCCGAGGCAAAGACTTGTGCCGAGGTTTGCCTAGGGCTGGAGGTAGCAGCTGCCTTTTCCTCGTCAGCAGCTGTTTGCCAGAGCACATTCTTCCTAGGGGTTGACATCAACCTGTCAGTAGCTTCCCCAAAACCCAATCTGTTTCTCCCAGTCTGCTGTTAGTAGTTTTAAATTATGCTACTTGAGCCTCGCTCTCACGCAGTGGCACAAAATAGCGGCCTTGTGTGCGTCTTCCGGGCAGGTAACCCACTCTCATTTTAATAACTCCTTCAGTGACACTCCCCAGGGCTGGGGGTGGGCTGGACCCAGGGAGCAGGAGGTGCTCCCCAAGCCTGTCCTCGTAGCCCCCGCAGTGGTCTTCCCGGGTCCCATCAGCGCCGTGCACCGCAGCACCACAGCGCTGTGTCAGGGACGCAGTGAGGTGGGATCTGTCCCCACGGGCTGCTCCGAGCTGTTGGGATCAGCCTGGGACTTTCCCACCCGCAGTAGTGCCCTTGCAGTGCCACCCTTGCCACTTAGTAGGGAAAAGCAGGTCCACGCTGTAACCGAAAGCCCAGTTCTTGCTTTGTAGTGACAAATAGATGGAGACCAATTGGCTGTGACCACATTTCAGTGGGGAGACTTTCCCTCGGGTTTTTAACATGCGCGTGGTTTTTTTTTTTAAATGTCAGGCCAGTCCTTGGTAGAAGGTTCCTAAAGCTGGAGTCCTCCTGCCGCCCTTCCCCTGTCGGCCCTCCCTCAGTCCCACGCTGAGGTGTGCAACACGTCAGACCTGAAACAGAGGTTGCCATTCGGACATCTTCATTCCCTGAGGGAATAAGTATCTTCCTGTGTATCGAAGGACTTTGTTGTTTGGAATCACTGTTATCTTTCTGCCAAATTAAAAAGAAACGAGTGTCCTTTTATTTCTATGGAATCCTCGCCCAGACGAATGTTTGTTGTTCCTTTATGTGTCCCGTTGGTTTAGGCTATGTGGTCAGACCCTGGTGAGCATGTAAAGCGAATGCTAGGTTTGAAGAACCTGTTTTAAATACCCGAGGGATGGTTTGCCGCTGATGTGACTGCTGGAGTGAAAGGGCATGAAAGCCTGTCCTTCCTGTTCCAGCATCAGGGAGGGGCATCGTCCCCTCTCCCTGGCATCTTCGTGTGCAGCCCGGTCCGTGCGGCAGGAACTGGGAGCAGAGTGCAGGCGGGGGAAAAGCCAGTGTTTCGGTTCTCACCCCACGCACCCGTGAGCTTCCCTCCTCACAGGGCGTGTTCCACCATCACCTGCTGCATCTCTGATCCTAGAGACCAAGAGCTGACGACCTCCAAACCTTATTTTTTATGGACACTGATATTAACGGGATTTGATCAACATTTGCATCCTTTATTCATTAAGATAAAATTAGAAACACTACCCCTTTGACACATTTCACTGAATGAACAGCCTTGTGCAGAGTCCTGAGTGTGGGAAAGTCTAGGGAGACGGAAAACCTCACATCCATAGCCTTTGGGAGTTTTCAAGTGTTACTATTTCGTTGGGCTTAGGAGCCTGTGAGCTGTTCCAGGTACAACACGCATGTGGGCAAGTTTGAGAGGTTGGGTCACCTGTGTTCCAGATAATTTTGCTATTTATGTTATGACAGAAGTTAATTTGCTCTGTCTTAGTTTTCTTAGCGCAGAGAACAAGGCAATATTTGCTGCCTTGTTTACCCTCCATGCTGAAGGTAAGCAGTAAAATTATTGGGGTAAAGTACTTTGTGTTACTCTGTAATTAGATTATACTTTTGTGAGAAAACCCTTTGGAGTCCTCTGCGAGTCCTCAAGAAGAATAAACAAAGCCAAGCTACCTGGACCCCCTGCCCTGGTGACCCCTGGCAGCTAAAATGCCTGCAAAGGTGTCTGGTTGTCCTGTGACAGGAATGCTTCCTCTTGTCCCTTAAGGAACACGAAGCTAATGGTCAAACACAAGCCTCGTTGGTTCTTTATTTGCGGGGTTATATTGAAAGATACTCAGGACACAGTTAGAATGGGCTCTGGAGATTTATGTCTGATGGGCAGGTCCTTTCTCAGAGGGGCAGCTTCCCATGTGTTGCCAAGAACATCAGGAACAGGTGCCGTGAGCCGCGGAGGCACCAGGCAGCACAAGACTGGCCGGAGCTCAGGCTACTTCCATGGCCCGGGCATCACGCTTGTCATTCACCTCTTGAGACATGAATAATGTTCCTGACTACAGTGCACAGAACAGGTATTTCTTGTGCTTTCCCCCAACAAATAAAACACAGAACCAGTTTTTTATCAAATTAATACAGCATACTGTTAACCATATCACATCACTTAAATTTTTAAAAAATAATTGGATTTAGAGGTGGGGGGAGGGAGAGAAACATTGATTTTCTTTAAAAAAAATATATATATATATATATATATATATATATATATATATATATACTTTTATTGATTTCAGAGGAAGAGAAACATCAATGATGAGAGAATCATGGATAGGCTGCCTCCTGCACGCCCCCTGATTGGGGGTCAAGCCCATAACCAGGGTATGTGCCCCTGACCAGAATAAAACCTGAGACCCTTCAGTCCGCAGGCTGACTATCCACTGAGCAAAACCGGCTAGGGCAATGTTGACTTTTTTTTTTTAGACATTCATTGGTTGATTTCTGAATGTGCCCTGACTGGGGGTCAAACCCACAGCCTTGGTATATCAGGTGATGCTCTTAACGAACTGAGCCATCCGGCCAGCACTTAGCACTTTTTTTTAATGCATGTTTTGTACAAAGATGGTGATATTTCTTCATTCCTGAGCCTCATCAAATTTTAGGAAGAAGGAGGTTGCAGAGTTCACCCTGTGACTTGTCTAGGAGGGTACGATCTGGCTGACCTTGGACTTCTCTTGGAATTGGGATCTGCACGCACTCATTGCTGGACCGAGCCTTCCTCATGTCCCAGGAGAAGCAAAGACCATGGTCTCTGGTGATGGGGATCCTGTTGTCGAGGGTCCTCCATCCTACAAGCGCAGGAGGGAGCACGTGGCTCTCATACAGTTTCACACTTTCACCCATGAGGCTCTGAATCCTCTGTGAAGTCCATCCCAGGAGCTTGTCCAGCATAACTACCGTGTGGATCTCAAATAGAGACCATTGTCTGTGTTTGCCCCAACATGCTAACGGGAAAAAGCACCCTGCTTTCAAGGACTTGGCTAAGACCCGGGAGGCTAGGCCCTTTGAAGTGGAACTGCTCTCCGTCCGGAAGGGAGCCAGCCTCGTGACAGCAGCTGGAACCCCAGATCT